TGTTGGTAAGTGTAGACTACCTGGTTGGGGTCTGCGAGACGACAGTAGTCGATGGTTCACGATGGATCACGACCGTTGTAACTGATTGATTTAGCTATTAAGTCCAGATACCTCCTACTGACTTGTAAGTAACAATGCGAATGAAGTGTAATTCATTTATTGTTACGCATGAACGTCAACATGTCAATTTGATATGCTTGAACTATTATGAGTTTATCTTAGTGGGAAAACGAGAGCGAGGATCCGGCGACAGGATATGTGTTTCGCTGATTCCAAATACCTCCAGGTTGTATCATTTTATTTTTGCAGCAACTTGAAATAATCTTCCAGTCTCCCACAGTGTTCAAACATTCCATGTTCCTTAAAAATATGGTTGCTCTGGTTGTCAGAAGAGGCATCAGCCCTGTGACTTCTGAAGGATCTCTGTTTACATCACGCGACGTCATAATTCTTCTTCCAACTCCCAGGGCAAAGTTAAAGTGGTTTGAATTATTTTTTCTCGTCAGCGTTTATTTGGCAAGTTAGTTTTTTGGTGGGATGGGGTCGTCAACCGCATACCCAACACTCCTCCTTTATACGAGTTTGGCAACACGACATGCTACTCTAATCCAAGTGTTTCAAACCCCCGTTGAGTAAAGACTTGATGTAAAGCAAAACCTGTATTCTACAAGCATTCAGAAAGTACAAAATCCGAGTCCAGAAGAGAACCAGGATCCTGGACTAAGGATCCGGGTCCGGGTTCTGGTCATTAAACGTTACACATAATGCGTATTTATACAGTTAGGTCAAATAGAAACCAACATTAAAGTCTGTGACATTGATAGTTAGGACGATCAATGGGAAACAACATTGAAGTATGTGACATTGGCAGTTACGACGACCATAATATTGACCTGTAGAAATTAACCAATAGGAATTGACAAATAGGTCTAGACTTATAAATAATTCTCTTAGGATATTGGATGAATATCCTAACATTTATAATGGTTATTTCAATCTTCTCACTGATGTTTATGACTGCTATTAATAATTCAACTGTATATTTGCCTAATCAATTTACTCTATCTGATTTAAACACTCAATTAATAGTGACAGCATAACATTCTAAACCAATGAGAAGTGACCGAGCTTGAAGGTCATTTGATGACCAGTAGAAATGTCCTAAAGGATGTATGCATCTGATTGGTCAAGAAACGAATTCATTTTCTAAACAATATATATATATATACATCTGAATATTACAGAAGACAACTTTTAGCACCAGGACTGATAGAACCACGTCTAGGTCACAAAACAAAAGCCAGAAGAAGAATGTTAGCAATCCTCACATCAAAAAGTGTTGAAATGTACTGGGGAAAGCATATATATTTATAGTTTCTCATCTATAGTATAGTATAATAAAGATTATTGTACTTGGACATTATAATCATGAATGAATCATTTGTAGACCACTATTAGGAACCTGTAATCAGTCGAAGGCCGTTTCGTCCTGGAAATGAGACTTCTTATAAGTGGCAGTGCGTATCCACAACTCTTGCTACTCGCAGATCGCTCAGAAATCCTTAGATTGATCAGAGTTAGACATAAACACAATTGGATGCCAGTTCAGTGATTCACTGATTAAGTGTTCGCGAGTAGGAGTTGTGGATGCTCACTGCCACTGATGGCAGGTCCCATACTAGGACGGAACGGCTGTCCAGTACTTTCAGGTTTCTAATACACACTTAAATAATTGATGATAAGTTTGATTGTCGAACATTATCGATCGCGAAGAGAAGATCAATCGTAGCCAACGATCGAATCTACGATGATGATTTCGTCCTGTTTGGGGCTTGTCAGCCAAATGCAACAAGATCCAAAAGTTGATGCTCACTTCGTCAATAAAGAAAGGGTTATGGAGGTTGTTGAGTTTCACTAAAATTATGGATCGCTTAATGTTAGACAGCCACTAAAGTTCTGAAAGCTCTAGATGATCATCTCGTCCTAGCATCGGACTCCTCGATCGTGTGCATCAACGACGTTGTACACATGTGAATCAAATCCTGTACTTTTGGTCTCGCACGCAAACGCTTAACTTTTTGACAAATAACAACTCAGTATCCAACGGTATAGTTAGTTGTCTAACTCCAATCAATCCACGATATTGCGCAATCATCATCGACTAGTGGTTCACAGTAGATAACTGTGTTCATAACCAGCACAGTTGGATTCCAATTATTGCTTACGGCTTCTTATCAAAGCACTGAGAATTTTCTCATGAAGCTAGTTACTACTGAACACATGATAATGTTCAGTATAGGGTCGGTCACCCAGGGCTTCCAGCATTTCAATGATTTTCTAACATTTTTCTTTTCAAAAATTTATTTTCATTGCCATTTCTTTCTTCGTCAAAATCCAATTTCAAACTTTTATTCAGTTATTTACTTACTCCTGTTACCTCCCAGTGGAGGATAGGCCGCTGACCAGCGAATCATTTTTTTCTGGTTAGCGTTGTTTTTAGCGAGTTAAATTTCTACAGGATGCGGTCGATAATCCCATGCCCAACTCTTATCCTTTATTCGGGGTTAAAACCGGCATTTACCCGGGCTTCAGGCAGAGTTTATCGAAGCATAAACCGAATGATTCATATGTTACTTTCTTTTATATCAACTTAATAATAATAATAATTATTATTGCTAGTGTTATATTACTGATATCTACTGAAATGTAAGCTAACAAGCAAAAAGGTTACTTCCATTCTTAAACTATTTGTACAGCTCTACATCGAGGCAACTTAACCATTCATTATACAACACGCGAACATCAAGTGTACACATTTTATTATGTACTGTATAGAGAGAGTTATGAATAGTTTTTTGTATAAACAAAAACCAACTGAATTTTTTTGGCACTTCTCATCATCCACTATTGACTGATAAAATAGTTTACAAGAAAAATCAATAAAAGTCAAGGTGAACTGACACATATAGTTGTTATCTTTTTGTTAAGATAAAACAAAAACGATTTGAGATTGTTCAATGTTCCAATGAGCAAAATTAAAAAGCAGTGGCTTATATTGTTTAAACTGATTTACATTGTTGAATAGTTTATTTTGTTTACTTGTTGTTGTAATAACCGCGTCAATGAAATCAATTCGATCATGTGATTTGAATGATTTTCACTTGAGCTTTATAGCAAACAACTCAAGTATTATAATACAATTGAGTTTTTTAATGTTTAATTTGATGAAGCGAGGTTGTTTTTATTTAATTAACTTATTTAAAAGATAGAAAGAGAGGTGTTATTCGAACAGCAGTAACTACTTGTCGATAGTGGCTTTGTACTGTAATGATTGTTACGCTTGTATGAGCTTTGTTTACCACCTACGTGTATATATTCATTCTACTGACTTTAATGTTAATCGCTGACATAGATAGTAGTTCAATGATGCATTCATTCTGTTCTACATATATATAAATGTGTTCATTTTAATTCTGCTTATTTGATCCTCGGTGTTGGTGCGTCATTTCACTGTTGTTTCGTATGCCTGTAGTTTTGTCATCTGTGCGTGATGAGGTATCAACGTTTCGTAATCATTTTCTGAATTGTGTACACTAGTAATGGTTATCAGGGATGAGCAGTTTCGAAATTATGCTGAATATTCATCGCCATTGGGTTTTTATGAATGTTTGTTTATTGATAGATTTCTGTGAGTAAAATAATTTGGTAAAGTGTTGGCGGTTAGCTTACTTTAATGTGTCTGATCTCGTATGCTCCGTGTTGAATAGTATGTGAGAAAATATGAATAGAGAGAGAGGCATACTATTGAGAGAAGTTGATTATGCGCCTACTTAAGCAGGTCGCAGATTACATATCTTCTTCTGGCGTTAGATTTGTGTACTTCCTCCAATTGGACTTCATTGAATACATCTTAATCGTTCTTCAGTGATTTTTAATTAATGTAGCTAGTTAGACAGGTGTAATGTAGAACTAGCTAAAAAGACTGGATACATCTGTGCCATTGCAAATCATTCAAAGTCTCTAATCACTTGGTTTTAATGAACATACGAACTCCAGACTGTATAGTTTGCACCAACTAATATGGATCAGACTAATTATCATTGACTTCATAAACTTGTGTCATGTTTTCCTATACTCTGTATATCGTGCCGTAAACAGCTTTTTCCAAGCTTTTTGGGAAAATTATTCAACTTTTTCGTCACGAGTTATTCACAAGAACCAGTGTAAATATATTAATGAATACATGGATTTGTACCATGTTTTAGTTTGGCCGACCCCTGGCCTATCACTAAATCAGATAAAATTACTCGTAGAGGTAGCTCATGGTTAACACACTGATGACTCGCTGGTTTCATAATACACGAGCAATGCTTCGAAGACACTTGCGTTCGTTCACTATAAAACATACCGATATCCTTTATTCTTACTGACTATTTTTTTACTTGCATAGAGTAGGATGCAGCGAATTGCTGTGCAATAAACTTGTTTTTTACTAAGCCCTACTCAGTTGAATCGTCTTGACTGTGGGATAGAACAAACTAGCATCCTCTGGCGGAGGAAGAAATCAAGAAGAAGCACTGAAAGTGGATAGGACACACATTGAAGAAAGTTTACAACTACGTCATATAAAACGAGCCCCTATCTGAAACTCTCAAGGTCAAAGGAAAAGAGTAAGGCCAAGAAACACAATACACCGAGAAATGGAGTTAGACATGAGAAAAATAAATAACAACTGGGTTTAACTAGAAATGAAAGTGGATAACAGAGTAGTTTTTGAGATTGCTGGTCGTTGACCTCCATCAAGGGGGTAACAGGTGTAAGTAAGAAAGTAATCAGTGTATATGATGCAGAATTAGCCACAAAGCATACTAATCAACCAATCAGTTGTGAACATTGCAGTTATTTTCTATCCAATATACATTTTTTCTAACTTGATCAACAGTTTCATTCCCACTTATTGTTTATCTTTCTTCCGTTTTAAAATTTACAAAAATTTACAGAAATTCATCGTAACAAATTGAGTTCCACTTTTAATTATCCTACTAATAATAATATGAAAAAAATGGATAGACGATCAGCTCCTCCATTAGTAAGTTTTATTCAGTTTTTTTTATTGTCTATGTGTGTGTGTTGTTGACAATTTTTCTTCGTATGCATCTTTTTTTCATATTGATCAATGTTCAAAATAATATTCAAGCATACGTGTGGCGCTAATTAAAAACAATAGGTGCTTCTTATCATAAAGACCGACAGATACAACGCAGAACTTCGTACATGAGAGTACATCCGTTCAGGTTGCCATGCCCAATCAGCACAGAGACGCAGCTGTCAGTTCAAATCCAATAGTGATAGTGATAATAGAAGTATTAGCAGTCATGGAGAAGATTAGGGAGTGAAGATATGATTTGAGAAGTATAATTCAGTAAGATAAATTTAGAAGGAGAAAGGTAGAGATTATGAGGAATGCAGAAGCTTAGAATTTCATCGAACACAAAGAGTGGATGCACCTGCACCATTGCAAACGATTCTGAGCCATGTCGTTGAAGGTCTCTAACCATCGTTGACTTTCGGCTCGCGGACCTCAACCACGTACCATTCATCTACCAAGATGACTCAGTCAACTTGTCAGTGACTTCACGGATTTGTGCCATGTTTTGGTTTGGCCGCTCCTAGCTTTCTTCCAGTCTACTCCTACACTGCAAAACATAGCTCGTCGAGGCAGTCGATGGTTAGCCATATGTAACACATGTCCCAACCACCTCCAATGATCAAGTTTCACTACTTTATCTATTGATTCGCCATCCTTACCTAGAACTCGTTTCCTAACGACAACATTGCCTATACGGTTTTCCCATGATACACGAACAATGCTTCGGAGACATCGATGATCGAAAAATAGTAACCTACGGAAGTCGTCTACTCTTAAAGGCCAAGTCTCGCATCCGTACAGAAGACGGAGTGAACTGCTGCACATTACACTCGTCCTTTAGTCAGCAAACGGATATCTCGCCTGCGCCATAAGTGACGCAGGTTGGCAGAAGCCAATCGAGCTTTCTGTATCCGTGCTGAGATTCCATCAGTAACCAGGCCATCAGAACTGATGAGACCCCCAAGATAAGTGAAGCAGTCTACACGTTAGACTACTTCACTCCCTGTCACTAGTTCAGGTGCCGATGCAACCCAATCTTGAAGCAATATTTTGCATTTCGATTATGAGAACCGCATCTCCAACATGCTTGCATGTTTTTTATCAAGAACTGTACGAAATGAATCATGAATTAAATTTGAAAATACTATGGTGTGGTTTTAATAGACTCCATTTTGTTATGGAATTTGCATCAATGTTGATGTCTTGGTGTGTAACGATATCTAAGCACGGGTACAGCAGAATGGTCGATTGACTTTTGCCAACTTGCATCAGTTTCTAGTGTAGGTGAGATATCCGTTTGCTAACGAAAGGACTGGTTTACTGTGTATCAGTTTGCCTCACTCTTCTTTATGTCTGTGAAACATGGTCAGTGAGAGTAGAGAATAATCGTAAGTTACTAGTATTTTAATCATAGATGTCTCCGAAGCATTTCGAGTATATCCTGGGACTGTCTAGTAAGTGATGCTGTTGTTAGGAAATGAGTACTAGATAAGGGTGGAAGATCAGTCGATGAACTAGTTAAACTTCATCAGTGGAGATGCCAAATGGATGCCCAACCGCCGATTGCCTTGATGAGCAATGTTTTTTGATGTAGGGGTTGGTTAGAAGAAAGCTAAGGGCATCTATTTTCTAATAAAACTGACATTATACCTGATAGAAAGTGTGATGTAGGAATCGAAAATATCGTCATCTATTTGATATTTCAAGCATATTTTAAGCTATAATCAGTCGGTTTAATAACAATTATCATAATCAAAATGAACTTTAATAAGATATGATGACTGCCTCCTTTCAAGTAACCAGAATAACATCAAGAGACAAATATATGATCTTTGATTGTGAAGAGAGATTATTATTTGATAAAAAATATAACTGAGATGGTTTAGAAAATTTTACCTGGGGTAGATGATTGTCATGGAGTTTTGTTGGATGTCCTGGTTGTGGAGCCATTATTGTTCTTCTTCTGAACAACATCATCAGCACAAACCTCAAGTGAAGAAGTAAAGTATTCGAAATTATCCACGTATGACCCGTAGTTTGACTGTTGACGAGTCATGTATGGAGAAAATCGATTTAATATTAAGGAGAACAGGACAGATATTTCATTTTAGTGATATTGTTTTCAAGAGGTAATCAAAACTGATAAAACTGCCAACTTTCTTCGTCTGAAAAACTGTTACGCTCGTCTCTAGATATGCTTAAACTATTACGAGTTCACCTCAATCGATTAACGAGAACAAAACAATGAACCAGAGTCCAGGTAGGCTACTGTGATCCCTTGACCAAAAGGTATCAGCAAGAAGTCTTGATATAGTGTAGAAATTGTATTCCACAAACACCCAGCAAGCATACAATGAATCCTAGCACTCGAATTGCGTTTATTTATACTCTATAGAGACATCGTTGGGACAGTCACAAAAATAGCACATGAGAATACACAGTAGCCAATCACAGCGAAGGATTTTCCTGGTGGGAAATGTGATCTCGAAGACAACTGATCGGTCTATGAAATAAATCCAAAATAACGATATTTATCAAGCGATTTCTGTGGATCTAAAATCCCTAACACTCCTCCCCTTTTTAATAGCGTGCGCTGCTGGAGTCGACTTGCACCTCGACTTTTGTTCGCTGCTGTCTGAGAGGATACATTCGGGAACGGAGATCAGCTTATGACTGAGTTTTTTCTCGTGGAGCGGCTGCTGGTAGGTTGGAGGTATCGAGCAGGATGTCGAGGTGGGGATTTGCTGCTCTTGATGGACGATCTGGGGCTAGCCGTTTGCATATCTGGTTTCGATGGCGTGACCACCTTACGCCTCCGACCTCTACTTCGTACAAAACTCACCCAACTCTTCTGATCATTCGCGCTTCTGCCCAGGGACCATGATTTGTTCTGTAGTCACGGGCGAACACAGAGCATCCCACTTCGTAATAGGACTGCCTTTGCTGCTTTGTCTCTACTGATGTGTTGGTGCATTGGTCGGATGCATCAGGCTGTGGAACGTTCTCAGTCTTCTTCCCATCAGGATTTCTGCTGGGGATAAAGATATTTATCAAGCGAGTTCTGGGGATCTAACATCCCCAACAAAAACACACATCTTTCGGCATGACAAATATTAGGTGTTTGTAAACAGTTGAAAAGTAATATTATAGTGAACGAGGACACAGGTGGGGCAACCGGATCGTATTTAACGAAAATTACAGAGTTACTCAGTAAAATTGGAAAACCATATCGTAAATTGTTCATTTGCAAAATATTAGTTCATCATATCGAACTGGACTGTTCCTGTTGCAAAACATCAACAATCGATTGTCACTATTCATGCGTTTCATACAAATTCCATTGTGTTCTAACTCTTCTTTTCTTGATCTTCCCCCATCTTCTGCTGCCAGACATTACGTTTACACTCGCGTCATATACTACTTATAAGTAGCTCGCACCACAATTCTTCTGTAGTGATAATAATTAAAATCAACAAAGTTTTTCGTAATTTGTTTTTCTTTTCAACATGTAAAAATAATAAACAACAACATACTTTTTTCAATGGACTCTCTTATGCATTTTTTTTGCAGAGTACTTAAATGTATTTAAGAGATCAAAACATATACAATTTCCACTACACATGATTGACAGACAAGGAATGATTTTTTGATTGACCAACTGACTGATTGATTGATTGTTTTTATTGTATGTAATAGGATCGACATGAGAAGTTAATCACGTGTGATTCACATAATTCTCAAGCACAAAAACTATCTGAATTGTACCTCTTATGTAGTGTAGATCTGTCTCATTTTGGCATATGTGTGTGTATCTTGTGCGGGTTGTCATGATGTAACAACTAGCCATCATCAGATGACAAGTCTTATTAACGTGTGTGTGACGACAACTCTTCAACTGAATGTACTTGTTTTTACCGCAGAGTTGATGATATTGATTATGAAACTCGAAGTCCAGTGCCCACCTTAGCTAAGGAGTCTAGAGTCTAGACAGCCATATTCACTTATGTCATCATCGGCTGAAGATTAGACTAATGTAGACATCAGTGATTTGATAATCAGACAGATTGATTAGTCTAGAGATCACACTTGATTCAAAATATGTTTTTAAATCTCTTTTGAACATTGTTGTATTGTATCATTGAGTAAATGAAAGAATTCATTGACAATAAAACAGACTAGAAAACTTTTGCACTAAATTCAATAAATCTCCATATGTTTGAATCATTTAAATAAGGATTTAATGATCTGCCTTAACCCAAAGAATTATTTCAATTTTTTTCTTGTGCCGTAGTAGTAAAAGTAAATAAATAAGTATATTTGAAATCATTAATCAATCATCATTGTTAGACCACCATTAGAAACCTGGAAGCACTGGACGGCCGTTTCGTCCTAGTTCGGGACTCCTCAGCAGTGCGCATCCACGACTCCTGCTCCTCGCAGGACGAAACGCCCGTCCAGTGCTTCCAGGTTTCTAATGGTGGTCTAACAATGATGATTGATTAATGATTTCAAATGTGTAAAAACGCAAACCTCCAAAACTGTGCCCCAAAATAAGTATATAAGTAGTAGTTAATCATAGTTTACAAATTACTTACTGACTTACTTACGTATGCCTGTTGAGCATAGGCCACCCATCAGCATTCTTCAAACTACTTTGTTGTCCACCTTCATTTCTAGTTACACCCAGTTGTTTTTGATTCTTCTCATGTCTGTCTCCATTTCTCGGCTGATGGTGACCCGCTGGTGCTTGCTGTGGGGCTCACCAGATTGTTGAGCCGTGCTCTGCCGAATATCGATGAGGAGTCGGGGGCACAGTCGTTGGCGTCGCAATTTATCGAGAGTGTGCCTGCCGCCGTGTCGCAGCAGCGGGAACTAGTAAACGCTACACGTTGGATAGATGCCGTAACTATTCCAGACTAGCGGGCAAGAACAATGACCGAAGTGGTAATCCGGCATGTTGTAGCGTGTCACGGAATACGGAAGGTAATATTAACTGACCAGGGTCCCTGTTTTGAAAGTGACGAGTTTAAAGCCCGTCTAAAGCAGTTTGGCATCAAGAGGATACGAACTACACCGTATCATCCTCAGATAAACGGTCTTACAAAGAGAAACAGCCGGACGTTAAAGGAATGGTTAGCATCTAAAGCAGGAGATTGAGAGAAAGAGTTACCATTGATTTTGCTGATACCAAAGTGTGAAGGACCGTACGTTATCACGGAGAGACGCGGCGCGGTTTACACGATCCGGAAAGAAGACAAGCAGAAGCGCGCAAATGCTAGTCAACTGCAGAGATGGTTTCAAGATTATCAAGTGTATGAGTCACGAAAAGCACCAAAGATGACAACGGTACGGCAATCAGAAAGACTACAACGACAGCTTATTAAAAGGGGGGACGAGTGTGGTTTCCTATGCACTTCCAGCGAATTTTATTAATATTTTCCTCTGTTGAAATCTGGTTTGTTCTCTCCCTCAGCAAGGTGTTACTGATGGTGTTTGGTCAAAGCATTTGAAGTATTTCGCGTAGACAACTGTTAAAAAAACACCTGGATTTTGTGGATGACGGCTTTCGTAGTACTCCAAGTGTCTGTCCCATAAAGTAGAACTGTCTTGATATTTGTATTGAAAGTTGTGACTTTGGTGTTGTTTGATAATTGCGTTAAGTTCCAGATGTTTCCAAATCGAATAAATGACTCTCTTACTTTGCATGTCCGCTCCTTGTCATCAGATCCACCTCGTTGATCACTGATGTTGTTCAGATACATAAACGTTTTTACATATTCCAGAGCTTGTCCATTAAATGTGATTCATTTGGTCCGGTGCAATCAGATGATGTTGTTTTTTCCTTTGTTTATGCTGAAACCGACTCGTTTAGAGGATGCTGATACACTGGCCGTGTTCTTTCGAATTCGTTGTTTTGTGTACGATAGAAGAGCTAAATCATCGGCGAAGTCCAGGTCGTTCAGCTACTTCCGAGCTATCCACTGTATTGTATGCTCTGTTTGAGGTGTTTACAACTTCATAATCATTAAAATAGAAATAGTCCCTCTGAGGCTACTGCGGGCTCCAAGCCTGAATAAAGGAGAAGCGTTGGGCGTGGAGTTAGCAACGCTAACCACAAGAAATCAATTTCCAGCTTAAAAACGAATAAACGCAAAGGTTGTAGATGGGAGTGGTACGATAGTAAAGCTTTTAAAGTAAAGATTTTAAATAAAACCAAATTTTCTTTCAGTTTAATTCACTGTCAATAAAAAAAATAAGCAATGAAAACTTGTGTTTCGTTCTACTATGGGACTCATCAGCCGCACACATCCACAACCGGCGCATATGTAAATCGAACTCGGGGGCCTACGATCTCGCGCACGAACGCTTAACCTATAGACGATTGAACCAGCATTCAACGATGTTAATTTCTAACTTCAATCAATCCACATCGTCCTCGCAAGTGACCAGCTTCGTTAGGAGATTCTAGGAATTCTATTGAGAAGTTGTGACCAGTGGAGTTCGACCCTGTCGGCAGTGAGACGCTTACCCAAGGGATTGCGCAATATAGTGAATTGATTGAAGTTAGACGTTAACAATGTTGGAGGATGGCTTGATCCGGAGTTGGATTCCTACGTCCGGAGGTCGTGGCCACGCACTGCTGATCAGTCCGGTATTAGGACTAAACAGCCGTCTAATGCTTCTAAGTTTCTAATTGTGATCTAACATTTATCGATTTATAATTTCCATGAAACTCAACAATCTCTACAAACCTACAATGAAAATAATTATTAATATTTATTTTTAACAGATTTAAACTATCTGTCTACTCATTAACCAATCATGTTGTAGTATTCCACTTAATCTCGTACATTATTTTTTCAAGTGCTTGATCGATAATTTCAGAAGCAAAACATCTATGCATACAGTAAAACTGTCTGCTTAAATTCAAAATTTAATTAGTTCCATTTATGTGTCATCAGTGAGAAAGCGAGAGAGAGAGATAGATAGATCGATAAGAGAACAATCGATGGGATGGATCGATAAACAAAGTTTTGAAAATAAAATTCTGTGATGGTTTCCAATGAATATACTACAAATTAGTGAAAGATTTAACATGATGCCAAACAAAACGTATCCAGTAGTTTGAATGTTGTTTTGTATAATTATCTTGACTTGTCCTACACACATTGAGGAAAGCACCCACCTACGCCACAAGACTAGCCATCTACTCGGAATCCTCAAAGCCAATGGAAAAGAGACCAAACAATAGAGAGAGAATACATTATGCGGAGAAACGGAGACAGACATGAGAAGAATAAACAACTGACTACACTAAACAACAATGCAAGCATGTTCGGGATGCGGTTCTCACCACAGAAATGTAAAATGTTGCTTCAGAATTGGACAGCATCGGCACCTGAACTAGCGATAGGGAGTTTCACATATCTCGGGAGTGTCATCAGTGCTGATAGCCTGGTGACTGACCAAATCTCAGTACGGATACAGAAGGCTCGATTGGTTACGTTTTACGGTGTAGTAGTAGGTTGGCAGAAAGTTGACAAGTGGACTGAGTCATGTTGGTAGATATAGGCTACGTGGTTGGGGTGTGCGAGGCGAAAATCATTCAACAATATGTTTTGAAATGGCTTGCAACGCGGCAGGTGCATCCACCCTTTGTGTTCTCTCAAATTCTAACCTTCTGAATTCTTCATCATCTTGATCTTTCTATATCCAAAATTATCTCACTGAACTATACTTCTTGAATAATATCTTCGATCCCTGATATTCTCCATTACCAGTAATTCTTCTACTATCCCCATGACTATTGGATTTGAACTGACGGTGGCGTCTCTGTGTTAATGCAGTATGGCGACCTGAACTGATGTACACGCACGTACGAAGTTCTATGTTGTAATCGACTAAGAATAAATAACGATTCAGTAGAACTAGAAATAAAGATTGGCGACAGAATCGGTTAGGTAATGCTGCTCCACGAAGGGTAACAGAAGTAAGTAAGTAGGTTGACTGATCCTAAAATTGATCTTCCATAACAAAAGCAATTAATCTAACTTACCAAAAAATTATGCAATCTCTCTAAACTCCTGCTGAAAAATCCAAATTTCTCCATGAAATGTTTTTGTGTGTATATAAGTTTACACTGCTTTACTCTTTGTTCTTGTGCATTTTTTTTCCAAAGGATACCACATCGCATGCATTGAAAAATTGGTTTGATTTCTATAAGAAAAGTCATTGCCTAAATCCATCTTTTCTATCTGATCACATAATCAGCGAATGTCTACGTGAATTAAATCCAAATCTATTAGGAAAATTATTACCAAAACAATTGAAAATATTCGATGAAACTATAACTCCTATAACTCCTATTACTACTACGACTACATCGTTGAACACATTGATAACACGTGAAGAGACAACTTTGCATAAATCCAATTCTCCTTTATTGGTTGAAAATAATCAACAATTCAGTAGTCAAGATTTAGCTAATTTATTTTTTATTGAAGAATCATGGGAACAAATTGTGAAAACATCTTCAGTAAGAAAATGTTTTGTTAAGTTGGTTGTTTTTTTTTAGAAAAATTGATGATATCAATTATGAACTGATGAAAGTAGTCGACTATAACATGTTGTTGTGTTATTCCATAGAATTCAGCCATCTTAGTTAGACCACCATTAGAAACCTGGAAGCAGAGGACAGTCTCATCATCATCATCATCAATAGTTCGCATGTAAGGCCTTCGTACACGATAGCTCAACCCGGATTCTTTGGTCTCCTGAGGACTGACCTAGCGTCCAACGATGTTGATGTCTAACTTCAATCAATCAAATGTATTGTGCAACCTTTACTGCCTACATCTGTCAGGGTTGAACTCCACTGATTACGGCTTTTCGCTAGGTCACCTATAATTTCCCAACGAAGCTGGTCAACAATGAGTACATATTCGGATGCAGTTAAGTGGTCTGGAGGTTATGCATTCGTGCGAGAAACTGAAGTTTCTGAGTTGGATCTTCAAGTGTGGTTATTGCGGATGTACACTGTTGATGAGTCCGATACCGGAATGAAACAGGTATCCATTGTTTCCAGGTTTCCAATGGTAGTCTAACATTGTTGGATGCGAAATTTCTATAAAACGTTTCTTGACTCTTCCTAAATAAGGGAATAGAACATTTAAGTTCTAACAATCTAAAATAGGGTTTGCAGAGTATTCGCATAAGAATCTTGCTAATTTATCAGCACACTGATTGCATTGAAAATGGACTAATCACAACATTCTCATTGACGCTTCATTTGAGCATACAACATAGTCAACACTCAGTCTTGCTTACAAACATTTCAATAATTTGTTGTGCGCGTCGTACATAGAATAGTGTCTTTGAGATTACTGTTGGGAAGCCCTGTAAATATCCTTCGGAAAAGTCTATAATGACTTAGAAACTCCAGGAAACGTTTCATCCAATCAGTATAGAGTAGAATTTACGCAGAAACATCCGGAAAATGCAAAATCACTGGTTTAGATCCTGGCTGCATATTTAGCCATCCTGTTAATATATTTCGTATGGTTTCCGAACCTCCGAGTTCCTGAGTAACTTTTTACATAAAGCGTTTTGCTAGTACTTCGCTCTTATTCTTTTGCATTCAACGTGCGGTGTATATGTAGTCTTGGGTTATGTGAAGTACCTAAAGAAATCAGATCGTGCCTTTATTAAGCAGACATTATTGGGTTATAAAGATTGTTGAGTTCCAGTGAACTCATAAAATGTTTCAGTTTTAGAGTGCTAGTTACAAACTTATCAATGATGCGCATCCAGGACCCCACGAGTGGGAATCGAACCCTGAACTTTTGGTCTCAAGTATGAACACCTGATCTCCTGACGACTGAGCTGGCATCCAATATTGGTAACGTTTGACTTTAATCAACGCGCTATACTGAGTGACCATCTTTCATTGGTGGTCTACTGTGTGTAACTGTCCCGCACTGGATATATCTAAATTCCGCTAGTTACATTTATCATTCAAAATCTCAGAATCATTTCTCGAAATTGGTCATAGGTTATTCAGTTAGAGTTTTGGAGATTAATCATTGTTAGACCACCGTTAGAATTCTGGAAGCATTGGTCCGCCGTTTCGTCCAGGTGTAGGACTGATCAGACTGCAGCAGCATCCAATGCCCCTGCTACTCACGTGAATCGAACCCCAATATCTTCGATCTTGTGCGCTAAAACTGAGGAGTGAGCCGGTATACACAGGTGTTATTGTCTAACTTGAATCAACTCAAGATATTGCTCAACCTCACCGATTATCTTCAGTAGTTTCTGCCTACAATCGACAGGGTTGAGCTCTATACTGATCGCACGTGTGAGATTGAAGGTCATGGGTTTAAATTCCCACTGGCTGGGATCTTGGATGAACTGTGCTTAAGAGTTCACTACCAGGAAAAAAAAACGACTGTCTAGTGCTTACAGATTTCTAATGATAGTCTAACAATCATTGATTTTATGATTTCAATGATAAAACAGATTAGATTTGATGTAAATTATCGTCAACCTTCTTTTCTAGTTCTACTGAATCGATATTTATTCTCAGTCGATTACAACGTAGAACTTCGTACGTGCGTGTACATCAGTTCAGGTCGCCATACCACATTAACACAGAGACGCCACCGTCAGTTCAAATCCAATATTCGTGGGGATGGTAGAAGAATTACTAGTAATGGAGAATATTAGGGATCGAAGATATTATTTAAGAAGTATAGTTCATTGAGATAAATTTAGAAAGAGAAAGATTGAGGTGATGAGGAATTCTGAAGATTACAATTTGAGAGAACACAAAGAGTGGATGCACCTGCGCCATTGCAAACGATTCTGAGCCATGTTGTTCAAAGTCTCTAACCTTTGGTGACTTTCGTCTCGCGGACCCCAACCAGTTAGCCTACATCTATCAAAATGACTCAGTCCACCTATATCAGTGGTTTAGCCCTCCCTAGCTTTCTTCTAACATACTCCTGCATCACACTAGATTCTACTTCTTGAATAATAATATCTTCAAACCCTAATCTCTCTGATTACTGAGAATACTTCTATGACCTCTACCTCTATTATGGGATTTGAATTGTGGACAATTCTATCCCTCTGTGCAAATTTGGTGTAGCAATCTGAAGTTGTACGTACGTTGTGACTGACTAACTAACTGACTGACTGACTCATCAAACATGTTGATAAGTTAGAAATAAACGTTGATTCAGTCAGATAATTCGTCAGTTTACTTTGTTATCATGAATTCGCTTTTTCTGTGTGTATCCTTCATACCTCATCTCTTCTACACACATAGTTTTCTTCATTTTTAAATTTTTCCTTACAGAAAATGACAAGACAAGAACAAAAGAAACAATCAGCTATATGGGAATTTATTTATACTGAAGCAAAATATTTAAAATATTTACGTACAATTATAGATGTGAGTTGTACAAATGAAATTCATTCAATTGTGTTTATACATTTAATTTTTAATGAATAAGAACTAACCTCCGACAGAATTGCGAGCTTCTTCACAATCGAATCCCCACTTATTTTGATATGTGTATCTAACTTTAAGTTACTTACTCCATCGACTGCCCAAATCCAAGTCGATTACGTTGAAAGTGCCGACACATGCTAATGATAAAAATGTCAATTAGTTTAAAACGTCTTTGGTCTACAGTTTCCTTTCAACTACTTCCAGTTGCCTAATATCGTAACATTAGTTCTTCAAGACATATTGAACTGTTAATAGTCACAAAGCTGTTTGATTTATAAACTTCAGTTGAAGGGAACATCAATCAGATTAATGTAACAAATAAAACTATCTGTTGGCAGTGGTGTTTACTAATTTCATAAGAAGAGTTTTGTAACATTTCTTTTCATGTACAAATGAAATGTTTACATTGTAATATCCTCTACAAATTCAAAATTATCAGTCGATCAACTAAGGCAGGGTTTTATTCTTTGACGTGGATGGCTAGGGTCACGAAGCTTTCAATTTTATTCTGGTCTATCTTTCTTCCTTTGGCCTTGAGGATGCAGTTGCATGATTCACGCTATTTGTGTTCTATTCACTTGCTGTGATTCTTGCTAATTTCGCCCTCCGGTGGGATCTGGCTTGTTCTGATGGTGTCTGGACAACGAATCCGAAGTATTTTGCTTAGACAACTGTTCATAAATACTTGTATCTTCTGGATGATGGCTTTTGTAGTTCACCCGAATACAGTAGAAATGTCTTGATATTTGCATTGAAAATCCTGATTTTCGTGTTGATTGATATTTGTTTGGAATTCCAGATATTTTTCAATAGCAGAAATGCATCCCTTGCTTTGACGATCCGCACCCTCACATCTGCATCGGATCCACCTTTCTCGTCGATGATGCTGCCAAGATATGTAAAGGTATTAACGGCCTCCAAAGAATCTCCATCAAGCGTGATTTGGTTGGTGCATGTTGTGTTGCATCGGAGAATTTCGCTTTTTCCTTTATGTATGTTGAGACCTACTGCTGCAGAGGCTGCTGCTACACTGGTTGTCTTCTCTTGCACTTTTTGTTGCGTGTTCGACAGAAGAGCCAGATCATATGTGAAGTCCAAATCGTCCATCTGCGTCCTAGCTGTCCATCGAATACCGTGCTTCCCTCCAGATGTCGACGTCTTGATAATCCAATCGATCACCAGAAGAAACAGAAAGGGTGAGAGTAAGCAACCTTGCTTGAGACCGACCTTCACCTCAAACGAGTTTGTCAGCTGACCTTCGGTGCACGATTTTGTATGATTTACATGATTTCTAATGATTATTTCAAGTCGATGTATCCACCTTTGACCTACTATTGATAAAACTTTTATCATATTTTATAATTTTCTTACTACTATTAGTACACCTCCCTACTGTCAACTTGTACTGCTGCCTATTATGTATAGTGACGTTATCTAATTCATTTCATAGTGATTTTCGACTCAGATTGCCTGGATTGTTTATACATTTTCATATACACATATTCATGTATATTAGAGAGAGTAAAGCAGTCTGATGACGATCTAATCGAAAACAATAATATTGTTCTCTTATATCTGTGTTGTTCCAATATACACATGTTTTGAGCCAATACATTACAATTCAACTAAAAATTAGAAAATGTTGAACCAATTAATTCCGTCTTAATGATTTAAATCATGGTAACCTACACCTAGGAAACTTGAAGATCTAAATTAGAGGAGTTACATAAGAACGAAGAAAGACAGAGGAAAGCTTTACATATCTATGCAGTGATATTGATGAGCACAGTGGATCTGATGCAAATGTGAAGGCTCTGATTGAAAAAGAAAGGGCTGTTTTTATATGATTGAAAAACACTGACAAACTCAAAACAAGTACGAACCAACACCATAGACAAAATTTTCAATGGAATTTTACTGTATGAGACCGAAACTTGGATAACTAACTACGAAAGCCATGATCTAGAAGATATAAGTGTTTATTTTTACAGTTGACCAGACAGTATCCGCAACAATCTACTGTGGGAAATAACAAACCAGATTTCAGCTGAAGGAGAAGCTCCTAATTTTGTATTTTTGTCCTGAAAATTTGAATCTCTGTGTTTTCGCGCCAGTTGACCTTCAGCTTACACTTAATCCTCGGAAAATCCTTGACTACTATTGGTTGATGAATTATTTTAGTTCGCTATTTTGTGGCTATCCCAAGGACATATATATAATTGTATAAATAAGCTTGATTTGTATGCTTAGCGACCGCGTATTTTCTGGGAGCTTGTAGAATGAATACATTCCCGACACCTTATCAAGACTTTTTAATCTAGTTAGCAATGCCTGGGACAATGGATCAGAATAACATATCGTGTCACTGAGTCATTGCTCTTCGTTCCGTTTACCGAGTAAAGTGAACTCATAATCGTTTTGAGTAAGTTGTGGAATGCTAGTCAGCGGCCTATGCTCCATATGAGAGAGTATCAGACAAAAGTTGGTAAGCAGTTTATTCATTGAAATTATACAAATTAATGAGTGTAATTACTTACTTTTTCTAAAATTTCTACATTTTTTTCCAAAAAACCAACCAAACCACTCAATCAATCATACTACTCACCGATAATATACAGTATTATCTATCGCCATTTTTGGAAATGCATGAAAATTTATTTGATAATTTAAATGTCAATTGGATATTTAGTAATATTGAAGAAATATTTAAAGCAAATATTAATCTATGGTTACAATATTTAATTGAACCATTGAATGAAATACGTCAAAATGGTGATGCGTTTACACCGGTTACTTTTAAATGTGCAATAACACATGTAAGTTATTAAACAAACAAACTTTATACATTTTTTTGATGATTATTACGGTCAGATAATAAAAAAATAAGGAGAAGAGATTGCAGATCGCTTAGGTTGTATTGGATCGCCTTTGATCAGTTCGCAATGATAGAAAAGCAGTTGAATCAACAACATTCTATGTTTATTCAATGACACATTCATTGTTCAATGAAAATTATGCTCATTGGCCCTCAATCTCTTTCTAATTAACTAATAATAATGATAATAATCACGAGTGGCTAGCTGCATGAAGCAATTCTCGGAGTTCCAGTGATAAGGCATGACCAATGGAGGACAATCATGTTGAGTGTGATGCAGTTATCGACCTCTGGATGATGGTTGCGCAATATCGTGAATTGAATGGAGTTAGACATCAACACTGGTAAATGCAGAGACTCATTGGTTAATAGATAAACGGTTCGCCCGGGAGACCGAAGATCCTGTGTTTGACTTTACCATGCTTGCAGCTAAAAACACAGTTGAGACCTTTTTCCGACTAGTGGTAGGCGTCAATACAGTGAATAAAGGACGGGAGTGATCGTAAATTATTCCAATGTATCGAAAATTTACCACTAAAATAATTCACATGGCGAGAAGATGCAGAATGAGATTGCATCACTAAGGACAAACAGTTACGGAAGTTATAACTAGGAGTTTCTGCATATGCAATAGCTTCACTGGATGTAAAACATAGTTTATCAAGTATTATGAAGAAAGATATTACTTACTTACTTACTTACTGACGCCTGTCACCCCCAACGAAGCATAGTTCGCCAACCAGCATTCTGAAACCTACTCTGTCCTCCGCCTTCTTTTCTGGTTCTATTCAGTTGATGTTCATTCTTCTCATGAATTCCCCCGTGGTTTATTAAATCCACCCTACTTCAAGACGCAATCCGAACACGATGCACATATGCCATATGAGACTGATCACTTGCGTCCAACCAATACGAATGAATTATACTTCATCGCATTGCACAAACCAATGACTATCTGAACCCAGTAGCTAAGTGTATGATCTTTCTGATATTTGAATTGAACGGTGCTGTGTTCGAGTCCCAGAGCGCACATCCAACTATTTCGTTCTAGTTAGGATGAGATGCCTGTCCCACAGTCCATCGCTAGCTACTATCCATCCATTACCTTGGAGGGAGTTAGAGTTCACGTGTTCATGATTCCCATTATATTTACTTTGATATCAAATTATAACCAACTGCTTTCTTCCCTCATTCATGAATCACGTGATGTTGGCGATGATGACGGTGACAAGAAAACAATTAAAGTACACACACACTCACGCATACACGCATACACACATGCCAGCAAACATACACAAGTCGAACATATGAGCAAGTCCACTCGATGCATAAAGAAAATTTTGTAGTTAGACTGTTTATTCATTAGTTGATAGCGATCATAACTGTTTCGGATTTCTTTTTAGATTGTTATTTCAGGAACACTCCCATTATTCTATAGAGTGTAAACATTTGTTGTTGGCATGTTGATCAGGTTGATAATGGTTGTGTTTGTGTGATAATACTGTTGTGTAATTGAGTAACTAATTATAAAAAGCATGACAAGGTATATTTAGCTGAATTTAAGCAAATAGAAGCAGAGATGCATTGAAATCCAGGATGTGCGTTTCGTCCTATTCGAGACTCGTCAACTGGTTGATAATCACTCTGAAACTAGAGCAGATTACCATTCACTTCTAATGCTATTATGTTATTCACAATAGTTAATGAATGCAGACAGTCACTGGTCTGAACAGTGGTACTAAGTTCGAGTTCTGGAGTGGACATCAATTCTAGGATGATGAGTCCTAAACAGGATGAAACAAGGGTCCTGGATTCCACTGCTAGCCACTATGTATATTTGTTAGTAATGCTTGTGAATAAATGACTAAATCGAAGCATCCCACACATGAAGTACATATGTCAAAGTGGTTGATCAATCGCGATCCTGGCTGTCTCATTGGGAATATTAAGACTACCCATTTCCATTGCATTGTTGATATTCAAGCTTCGCTTTGTCATCAGTCTTCGTCGATAAAATACACATCCTAGGCCGCAAAACATAGAGCGATGAAGCAATCGATGGGTGGGTATTCGTAACACGTGTTCCAACCACTTCAACTGATGAAGTTTCACTACTTCATCTATTGATCTGCCATCCTTAAGTAATACCCATTTCCTAACAACTGCATTGCTTACCCGATTGAACCAGGATATACGAGCGATGCTTCGAAGACACCTATGATTGAAAACGAGTAATCTATCAATACCCCCTACTCTTACTGACAGTATTTCACAACCATTAAGTAGGATGGAGCGAACTGTTGAGCAGTACACTCATCCTTGATTAGCTGACGTATATCTCGCCTATGACATAAGTGACGCGACATAGCATGTACTAGGTTTGAAATTAAAAGTCCATTAAGTGAACTCATCACTAATTGAATGAAACGAGCATCCCAAAATTCTTCCATCACTACTAGACTCAATATCAATGTTTTAGAAAATATTTACAATAGTTTTTCGAGTATGTTTCAATACTAATGTCAAGGCATTTCGACTGTATGCAACGGAAACTTGTAGAATTACGAAAGCCATGATCTAGAAGACACAGGTGTTCATAAAGAGCAGTCTATGCAAGATACTCTGGATCTGTTGACCGGACAACATCAATAACAGCCCAATGTGGGATAGAGCAAACCAGATTCATCCGGATGGGAAAGAATTCAGAAAGAAGCTATTTAACTGAATAGGACATACATTGAGGAAAGCATGCAACTGCGTCACAAGAGAAGCCCTCACTTGAAATCCTCAAGGCTAATGGAAAATAGAAATAGCGAGGAGTAAATTACGCCGACAAATGGAGACGGACGTGAAAAAAAGGAATAAACGTTGGGTATAAAAGGAAAGGAAGGCTCAAGAGAATGTTGTTCGGTGACCTATTCCCTATTGGGTTATCAGGCGTAAGTAAGTAAGTAAGTTTCAAGTATGTGTGCTTATATGTGCGTACGTGTTTATTTTCATAATGGGTCAATATTTTTTTTCTATGTATTTACAATCTTGTCGTTGTGTACAACATACACATTAATCTTTCTTTCAATTGTAGATTCCTGATTTATTGAATGTCTATAAACAATATTATGTTAATTTACCACGTTGTCGATCATATACACAAGAAGCTGTTAAACGATGTATAAATTTCTTTACATTTCTTGAGGTACATTTTAAAGTTTTTTTTTTAAAGCAAATATAAAACCCTAATGTTTATTGATTTTTGTACGATTATTTGTCATAGATTGATTTTGATCTCGGGGGTACTATTGAAAACTGGGTTGCTGTCGATAACTAGTTCTTCCTAGTATTGGGATCGAAAAATCGTGATTCCAACCGACTGATCCAGTTGTCCAGTTGTGAGCGTATTCCTCTAGAGTTACATTCCCATTTACTTAATTATGCCTAATGCATTTTCTTCGGAGTGTTATAGGCTATCGACTATTGTCTCCCTCAGATATGTGTGTGTCCTTTTGCTCTTCAGGGTTCCTAGTTAGGCCTTGCTTTGTGATGATAATCGCCACAATATGTGTTCTGTACCAATCCCATCTGATCGAATCTTCGATTCACAGAAATCAACTTGGTCTATGTAAATTTTTTAAGTTGTTGTGTTTAGATGAGATGTTCATCTAATAATCTGACAGGAGGTGTACATTGAATTGAATTTCACTGTAGGCTACAAATTCTTTCAATAAATCATTACTCACATATCATATGACAACCTATTAATTCTATGTGGTCTACAGGTAATCCTGTGTAAGATTCCTGACAGCTGAATAATTTATGAACATTGCTGATGAGTCCCACACAAGGACGAGACAGCCATCCATTGCTTCCACGATTCTCATGGTAGCCTAACATTGATCGCGATGCATGATTTGAATGCAAATTGTGATACTGTTTAACTAGACTCAAGAATAAATTCTTTTTAAAAATCTTGTTCAAGATGATTACTACAAGCTTATTCCTCTTCCATACTCCTTTGAATCAATAAATTCTTGCAATCTATTGTTTCATTTATTAAATCAATCATTTAATGATTTTATTCCAAGTGGGCTAATCAACAAGGTCATGATCATCGTGAACCATTATGGGATCAGTTGACTAAACCAACTACACGACTAACTCAATATCGTTTATTAATGGAATCGATAAGACGAAATTGTAGTAATTCAATGGAAGAACAAGAAGTCAATGAAATGGTAAGTAGACTTTGTTTTCTATATACATAGAATCCTAACTAACACAACTAACCAATCACTCATTCATTCATTGATTCAATCGAACTCAACACACACAACACAGCGCAACCACAAATGGAAAAATCACACCACCACACTAACTTACTCACCTCTTTTCTCAGTCCATACAATTCTAAATTGATAAAGAACCTTTTTTTACAGAGGTTCACTTGAAAACCTTTTTTACCAATTAATTATAATCAAATTCCATGTTTATCAGTCAGTTGGTTGAAAGTTCAAAGTATACTGATAGCTGCATTTTAAGCAGCAGAAAGATTCTCACAAGAGCCAGCATTGTGATCACCCCTGCCCCTTATGGGAACGCACATGTTGTCTAGACTAGTCTGCAGACAAATGGACATCCAAAAAGCACGCTCACGAGCAGTGGCTCCCGTTCGGGCACTTAATATGAATCAGCAAGATCCCTTCAACTAATCCACTACCCATAATCTCCAATCGGCAAGGGCGGCAAGGCGGGCTTTCCCAGCTAGACTTGGCACCCTGAAACGGATTACCGAGCCATCGAGCAGTGCATTAACCAGCAGCCGTTCCACCCGTCTGGCCTCCAACTGCCTTGCACTGATTTATAATTTAGAAAACTAAAGAGATTTCCCATTCGAGTCTTACTTTCAAATAGTTATTTGAGGTTGGATAGGCAGGCTATCACTTATCAATTATTCAGGTCTACAGCTTTGTACATGAGATTAAAAACAATTTGAGCAAAGTAAAAAAATGTAATTCGTTTTAAAATAGTTCGGATTATCTTGTTCAGTGGATATTATTTTACTGAGATTTCATCAGTCTCATTTGGATTATGGGCAGAGACCTATGCGGATTGCATCGATATGGCCATTAGGATGTGTCACGAGTTTACATAGAATAGATACAGAAGTGGGTACCACGAGTCGCGAAGTCAAGGCTGACAGCTATAGTCAGCTGAAGAGTCTCGAATAGGACGAAATGTGTATACTAGATTCCATTTATTCATTGAAACAATAATAATCTAGCTTATAATAGTGAAAGACAAACTAAACGTAACGAAACGCAAAGAAAACACTATGGAGGTTTCTTCGACACTATCTTCGACACTGAGAAGATAGTGAACATCATACGGAGTTCTTATTGTGGATTCAGCTGCAAAATCGTGCACGGAGGTCAGCTGACAAACTCGTTTGAGGTGAAGGTTGGTTTCGGTCAAGGTTGCTTACTCTCAACCTTTCTCTTTCTCCTGGTCATCGACTGGATTATGAAGACGTCCACATCTGGAGGGAAGTACGGTATTCAATGGACAGCTAGGATGCAGCTGGACGATCTGGACTTCGCAGATGATCCGGCTCTTCTGTCGAACACGCAACAACAAATGCAAGAGAAGACGATCAGTGTAGCAGCCGCCTCTGCAGCAGTAGGTCTCAACATACATGAAGGAAAAAGCAAAATTCTCCGATGCAACACAACATGCACCAACCAAATCACTCTTGGTGGAGATGCCTTTACATATCTGGGCAGCTACATCGACAACCAAGGTGGATCCGATGCAGATATGAGGTCGCGGATCGTCAAACCAAGGGCTCCATTTCAACAACTGAAAAATATCTGGAACTCCAAACAAATATCAATCAATACCAAAATCAGGATTTTCAATACAAATATCAAGACATTTCTACTGTATTCGGGTGAACTACGAAAGCCATCATCCAGAAGATACAAGTGTTTATTAACTGATGTCTACGCAAAATACTTCGTATTCGTTGGTCAGACACCATTAGCAACAACGTACTGTGGGAGAGAACAAACTATAAGACCATAAGCCACCGACCAGCATTCTCCGACCCATTCTATCCGGGGTCTTCCTCTCCAGTTCTGTCCAATTTTCGTTCATTCTTCTCATATCTTTCCCTATTTCTGGGCGTAATGTGTTCCTTGGCCTTCGTCTTTTCCTTCTACCTTGAGGTTTCCGAGAAGGAACGTGTCTTGTTGAGCAGTTTGGTGCTTTCCTCAGTGTGAGTCCTATCCACTTCCACCACTTCCTCCTGATTTCCTCCTCCACTGGAATCTGGTTTGTTCTCTCCCACAGTACGTTGTTCCTGATGGTGTCTGACCAACGAATCCAAAGTATTTTGCATAGACAACTGTTCATAAATACTTGTGTCTTCTGGATGATGGCTTTTTGGTAGTTCTCCAAGTTTCAGGACCATAGAGTAGGATGACTGTCTTGACATTTTTATTGAAAATTCCGATTTTCGTGTTTTTGACAGTTGTTTTGAGTGCCAAATTATCTTCAATTGTAGAAATGACGGTTTATCTTCGATGAGTTTATTCCATACATTCATTTAAGCAGACAGACAATAGAATGTGAAGTGTAGATGCTTTGTGGAAGAAAGTAAAGCGTCGAAGTTGAGTGAGCGAATATGATGAAGCTTGGCTAACTATTTGTAGTCGGATAAAAATAGGCCAGATATGTGTCAACCGATTTACGCAATGCACACACACACTCAATTAGGAACAAGCAAACTTATGACAGAATAACAGACAGCGTCGAAAGACAAGAGCAGAAGACATTCGTAGGTTAATAGTATTCGATTACAGATGTCTTAGAACCATTACTCTTGTATCATGGGACACCCTAGTAAGCAATGCTGCCGTTAGGAAGCGAGTAATAAGTAAGGTTGACAGATCAATTGATGAAGTATTGAAACTGCAGCAGCGGCCGAACCAAAATATGTCAGCAATCCATGAAGTCAGTGACAAGTGGACTGAGTCATGTTGGTAGATGTAGGCTACCTAGTTGGGGTCCGCTAGACGATAGTCACCAATGGTTAGAGACCTTGAACGACATGGCTCAAAATCGTTTGCAATGGCTCAAGTGCATCCATTCTTTGAGCTCTCTCAAATCCTAATCTTCTGGATTAGTCGAAATCTCTAATTTTGTCTTTCTAAACTTATCTCACTCAATTATACTTCTTGAATAATAGGCCACCGACCAGTATTCTCCAACCACCTCTGTCTTGAGCCTTGCTTTTCACTTCCATCCCATTAACTATTCATTCTTCTAATATCTGTTCTTTAATTCTCATCAAAATGTGTTCCTTGATCTCACCTCTGTTCTTTTCTTTTAACCTTGAGGATGCCAAGTGAAGACTTGCATTGTTATGTAATTACTATATTCTATTCTATCGAAATAATTTCTATTTTGAGTTAATCCTTTTTTCTCTGCGATGATGACGAACAAAAATAGTTTGTGATAATCAAGAGTTTTCATAGTAAAATGACCAAGTCTCCGTCATCTTTTTTTTGTTTACTTTACTTGTACAATGAATGATATTTATAGCAGTTGCTTAAACATACTTGAAATGAAATAAGTACAAACAAAAATCAATTCGATTAACATTTTCGTCATCAAAAAGTGTTTTTATTTGAAGAATTGCCTTTAACAACACCGTGTGACGTAACAATCGGATCAATGAAATAAATAGCAGTAAATACAAATACAAAACTTATAATTGATAGTTAAACTAACTGTAGAGAATGTTGAGTACAAACTTATTTACGCTTGTTACCCCTCAGAGGAGCATAGGTTGCTGACCAGCATGAGCCAACCTACTCAGTCATCTGCTTGCCTTACTAGTTCCACACAAATGCTGTTCATTCTTCTCATGTCTATCTCCATTTCTGTTCTTAATGTGTTCCTCGCTCTTCCTGTTTTCTATTGGCCTTGAGGATCCCAAGTGAGGTCTTATCTTGTGATGCAGTTGCATGCTTTCCTCAATGTATGTCCTATCCAGTGAAACAGCTTCCTCCATAAATTCTCCCTCATCTGGATGAATCTGGTTTGTTCTTTTCCACAGTAGGCTGTTATTGATGCTGTCTGGTCAACGGATCTACAGTATTTAGCTTAGGCAACTGTTAATAAACACCTGTGCCTTCTGGACGTTGGCTGTTGTAGTTCTCCAAGTTTCCGTCCCATACAGTGGAATTGTTTTGACATTTTTATTGGAAAATTATGACTTTGATGTTGACTGACAGGCTGATATTTTGAGTTCCAGATTTTCTTCAATTATTGAAATGTTACCTTTGTCTTGCCGATCTATGGTTATCAAAACTAAAATTTTGACCAGATACGAATAGATCAAGTTATATAATGCTTCAGTTTCCCTTCATTATAGTAATATACTTTATATTGATATCTTTTAGTCAGTGTGAAATCTAGACTCAAAACAGAGTTTCTTGTCCAATAGCTTGGAGTCTCTTCTTCCAAACAACTCGATTCAATAATCATACTCACCTAGTTATTTACTTACTTACACCTGTTCCCCCTCAATGGAGCATAAGTCGCCGACTAGCTAATTATTTCTGCTGGTTAGCGCTTCTTTTTTTACGGGATAAAGTCGCTAACCTCATTCTCAACCCTCCTTCTTTGTTATACAGTCTTAGGACTGGCATTAACCCTAGAAGGCCCTTACTTAATTTTTCTGCTTGGCGTAGTTTTAGCAAGTTCTTATTTTATGGAATGTGGTCACCAACCCCAAGCCCAATCCTCCTCTTTTATCCGAGCTTTGGAACGGTAGTAGCCCCACGGGGGCTCCAGGCAGAGTTAGAAGGCCCCCTTGACGGAGTTCATTCAATGATCATACATGATAACTAATTATTTCAACCACTCAAAACATCACAACTTAATCGAATATACAATCGCGATCAGGTATGGAAGCACTGGATCCCCCCCATATGACCATGATTATTGATTTACTTTTACAAATCATCTTTCTTACTTACTTACTTGACTACCTTTCTATCTCTATTTTGTTCAATCATCTGTTTGTCTAGTTCAAATCAATCAGTGAATTCTTGGAAACTATAAATCAACAAATGACTGAAACCAAAACATGGGAAAGTTTAGAAATATTTGCATCAAAATTATTATGTCATGATATGATTGATAATAATATTGATGATTATAGCCAATTAATCAATGATTATACAAGGTAAGACATTTTGGTAGGTGAAATAAATATCTTACTGATTATTATTTTGATTACTGTTATCGTGTAACTAAGATTTCACATCATTGGCTGATAACAAGCCATGGTTTGATCGATTTTATGCTTCCTGATTTGGAGAGCCAATCAGAAAAGGCCAAATGGGAATGTCATTTTTGATCACTGTCAACCATGTCTTCAAGGACGAATGTTTGTGATTGGTCAGGCGATGGATTTATTTTCTGAGGTGAATATATATATATATATATATATATATATATATATATATATATATATATATATATATATATAGACGAATTTACACGCATACGATTTGATAGCCGAATAGACTTCCTCTACCATTGTTCTGTTTTCACCCATGTAGTTATTTTTGGAGGGTGAACACACATCGCGGTTCAGATCTCAGATACCTACTAAGTATTCGGTTTTCATTTCTAATACTGTCCAATTGTTGTTCATTCTTCTCAGGCCCAACGCCATTTCTTGGCGTAATGTGTTCTTTGGCCTTCCTCTTTTGCATCAGTTTTGAGGATTTTAAGTGAGGGCTCGCCTTGTGACGCAGTTGGGTGCTTTCCGCAATGTTTGTCCTATCCACTTCCACTGCTTCTTTCTGACTTATTCTTCATTTGAAGGAATTTGATTAATTCTCTTCCACAGTAGGTTGTTGCTGATGGTATCTGTCCAACGAATCTACAGTATTTTGCGTAGACAACTGTTAATAAACACTTGAATCTTGTCGATGATGGCTTTTGTGGTTCTCCAAAAATTTGGCTCCAGACAAAAGAACAACTGTCTTGACATTTGTATTGAAAACTGTGACTTAGATGTTGTGAATTCGATAGTTGTTTTGAGTTTCACATATTCTTCCGTGGTAGAAATACTGCCCTTGTTTTGCCAATCTATGTCTTTACATCTTGATCAGATCCACTTCGTTACCGAATGACGCTGCCCGATTATGTAAAGATTTATACATCATTCCGTCAAATGTGATCTAGTTGATGCATGTTGTGTTTTGTCGAAGAATCTTACTTTTCCTTTTGTGTATGTTGAGACCAACTACTGTAAAAACTGCTTCTTTATGGGTCATCTCCCCGTGAATTTGTTGTTTTTTTGTGGGATAGAACAGTCGGATCATCTGTGAAGTCTCGATTATCCAACTGCATCCTACTTGTCCAATGTATTCCTTGCTTCCCCCACCCCCCTCCATATGTGGACATCTTCACAATCTAGTCCATCACCGGGAGAAAGAGAAAAGCTGAGAGTATGCGACCTTGCCTAACATCGGTCTTCACTACGAATGAGTCTATGAGCTGGTCTCCATGCACGATGTTTGCATTTTTGTTCATCGTAAGAACTTGCTTAAAAAATACGCTTAAAAAAATGCTCAAAAATACCTAATTTTTTCCAAAAATCGATAATTTTATGTTGAATCACTTTGTATCATAACATAACACAAACTTGTGACCTTATTTCTATTAGGTAGATAATAAGTAATTCGCACCAGTGGTGGGACTAGTGAAACACAGACCTACCCCTAATGGTTAATCAATAGAAGTAATATCTATTATTTATCTTTTAGTTATGACCAGAGTAGTTCAATGGTTACCTCATTGAGACTGTATTATGTCTTTCGGATAAGCAATAACTGACCTATAATGAAAATTGTCATCCACTCAGTAGTGAAGAAATTTTCGGAGTTTTATTGAAAAGTCATGACTACTGGAGTTTATTACATGTCAGATGTAAGGCAGTTACCCATAAAAAAACAATAAGTGAGATGGCGCAGTATTGTGAGTTCACTGAAGTTAGTTCAATGGTTCAGTGGTCTAAAAGTTAAGCGTTCGCGCGAGACACTAAAGATCCTGGGTCGTGGATAAGCTTTTCTGATGAGTCTCATACTAGGGCGAAACGGTCGACTTTCAGTGCCTCAACTCCCATTGAGTGAAAGAAGAAGACTTGATATGAAATAGAACCTGTATTGTACAAGCATCCAAGAAGTACGAGATCCGAGTCTAGAAGAGAATCACGATCCCGGACTAGGGATCCAGGTCCGGTCCCTAATACGTTACACATAATGCGTATTTATATATTTAGGTCGAAAAGGAAACAGCACTGAAGTCTATGACATCGACAGTTAAGGCGATCAATAGGAAACAACATTTGAACTGACATGAATAGTCAGGACGACCACAAAATTGACGAGTAGGAAGTAACCAATAGGAATTGACCAATAGTAGTTCTCTTAGGATATTGGATGAATATATTAACACAAACATCAATGAATTTATGAATGGGTTGATATACCACTTTCCGGCTTCCCAAACCAGAACGAAGCAGTTTGCTTAGCAAGAGCCACAACTCTAGCCTTCAACCCCTAGATCTGATTCGATAAGGCAGTGAGTGAAGCTTACTTACTTACTTACTTACTTACTTACGCCTGTTACCCCCAATGGAGCATAGGCCGCTCACCAGTTTTCTCCAACCAACTCTGTCCTGGGCTTCCCTCTCCAGTTCTGTCCAATGTTTGTTCATTCCTCTCATATCTTTCTCTATTTCTCGGCGTAGTGTGTTCCTTGGCCTTCCTCTATTCCTTTTGCCTTGAGGGTTCCATGTGAGGGCTTGTCTCGTGACGCAGTTGGGTGCTTTCCGCAATGTGTGTCCTATCCACTTCCACCACTTCTTCCTGATTTCCTCCTCCACTGGAATCTGGTTTGTTTTCTCCCACAGTACGTTGTTGCTGATGGTGTCTGGCAAACGAATCCGAAGTATTTTGCGTAAACAACTGTTAATAAACACTTGTATCCTCTGGATGATGCCTTTCGTAGTTCTCCATGTTTCCGCTCCATACAGTAGAACTGTCTTGACATTTGTATTGAAAATCCTGATTTTGGTTTTGTTTGAAAGTTGTTTGGAGTTCCAGATATTTGTCAACTGTAGAAATGCAGCCCTTGCTTTGCCAATCCGTGCCCTCACATCTGCGTCCGATCCACCTTTCTCGTCGATGATGCTGCCAAGATATGTGAAGGTGTTAACGTCCTCCAAGGCATCTCCATCAAGCGTGATTTGGTTGGTGCATGTTGTGTTGCATCGGAGAATTTTGCTTTTTCCTTTATGTATGTTGAGACCTACTGCTGCAGTGAGTGAAGCAACGTTCGCATATTCAGTTCCATGATGGTCGATAGCCAACAATGCATTCTCATACATCATTCATCTTTCCAGTCCACTCTACTCACCATCAAACGTGTTCTGTTACTGTGGTTTATTTTTAAACAAATTTGATAAAAATTATTTATTACTACTATTTATATGATTATATATATATATATTACTTGTGTTATTGCTATTTATTAGTAGTATCTATCGTTAGTTATAAAAAAAATTGATTTCGTTTCTTAAATTTTTGAATTTTTTTTTCTTTTAAAGTAGATTTAAGCTTTCAATTTTAAGTCCAATCAAATTACCATTTCCAATTATTTTATTTAATGATCAAACTAATCATACTACTAACATAAATCAAACGTTAAATAGTCCTTCTTGTACAAAAAAAAAATCATTAGCATTTTTAAATAATCGACGTTTCAGTGCTTCCGCATTGTCCATTTCAAACAACAATACTAATTCATTGTTCAATAATAATAATAGTCCGAATCGATTCCACCAACATACAATCAGTTGTAATCGTAGTGATTCCGGTATTGGGGATTGTAATTCCTCCTCTGCTGTATTCACTGATAACAACAATATCAGTAGCAATAACACGGCATCGATTTATTTAAAACAACCAACAAGAACATCCAGTTCAAGATTGAATTCATTCAATGAAAAATCACAATCATTCCCTGTATTATTATCACCAATGTGTACTGAGGATCGATTGTATAGAAGATCATTAATGTTGGATACATTAGAACAATTAGATAATTGGTCAGATATTTATTGTCGACGTACAGTACAACGTGTTGTATTGTATAGTGGAAATCTAAGATTTAAAGAACCACCGAATCGTGTAAGTCAATCATGCTACTAACCAATCACAACAACAAATTTTTAAATTAGTATTCGTTTTCGTTTTTGTGTGTTGTGTTGGGGATGTTAGATCCGCCAAAATTCGCTTGATCAATGCCTTATTTCGGTTTTCACGTTTGCCAGCATGGGCTGATCAGTTGACCTTGAGATTTCAATTCCCATCCACCAGGAAAATCCATGGCTATGATTGGCTACTGTGTATTTTAGTGTGCTATTTTCTTAACTGTCCCACTAGGACGTTTCTATGTTGTATAAATAAATGAGAGTTGTATGCTTGATTGTACTATGATTGCTGAGTGTTTGTAGAATAATACTTTCTACGCTTACAAAGCCTTCTGTCTTCAGTTTGGGATTCAAGGTAGCCTATCTGGACGTTGGTAATTGTCTCGTTCGCGTTTATCGACTAAGGTAAACTCGTAATATAGCCTCAAGCATACTAAGTGACGAACCCTACATTTTGTTTAAATGATTGGGATTTGTGAAGATACGATTGTTTTCACGTTTGAAATCACTGACTAACTAACTGATCAATGATGATGGTAGACCGATCATCATCATCAGTTGACGGTTGGTATTGTTCTAATATAGGATTATTAAACCAAAACTCACTCACTACTACCATAGATGGGATAGGAACCCTTCGCACGCAAATGCCTAACCTAATCGATGAAAATACTTGTTAAAACAGACTGACTTTCAGCTGATAAACATTGAACATCAATCAATTATGAACTATTGATTTTACGAGTTCAATCGTCCAACAAATCATGAGTAAGCACAATTGTACAACTCTCTCTAGATTTGAACATAACACTTGTTCATTGCTGTTGAAAGAGAAATTCAATCATGACTAGGAATGTTTGTGTATGAGACTAAACTTATTTGAGATAGTTAGTGTGTTGGATTTCGTGATTGTTGTTGATTTCACTGCATGGTAAAAACTGTCAACTTTCCAATTACTGAATCTAATTTCCAACTATAAATTCTATTCGTAATTTCTCATACTAATTTATGAATAACTTTTAATCCCAATCAGTAATTAGTTGAATATTGTCAAGGTCACTTTTTTATCATTACCAAAAAACGGTCGTAATCTCCATAAATCCATTTCATTTACACTAGTGAGTAGCTTGATGAAGTATTCCTGAAGGTGTGTGTTGAGAATAAGTGATCATTGTGGAGTTCAATCTTCATTGGATAGGCGATGATTATCAATCATAAGTAATTGACGGACAATGCGTTTGATCGCGGATTGATTCGACATTAACTCGGAGGCTGAGTGTTTGTGTATGAGACTGTTTGCAAGGGTCGTGGATATGTACTGCCCAATGAGTCCGCTGATACTAGGATGAGACGACCGTTCCATGCTTAAATCATTTCATGATTTCAACAACACACATCAATTCACGTCGCCATACTACAATAGCACAAAGAGAGAGAAAGTTTTTAGATCGAATTCTAGAGAGTAGTAAAGGCAATCATAGCATTTAAAAAAATATATAACAAATGTAACGACTATATCTTTAAAAACATTATAAGGAATTGCGAAGCTTAGGAATTAAGAACAGACAAAGTATGCATGCTTATGGGCTATTACAATCGATTTTGAACTATGTCATTCAACTGTTTCTAACTATTGGATACGTTTATGGCGCAGACCTCACTCAACCAAATAGTGTACACTTTACTGAAGTGTGTTAAACGTAATTTCCTTAAGAGCGGTGAGTACTTTGAATTGACAATGAAGTATGTCAAATAGTCGCATTAAATCTTAAATTCAATGACTTAAATTTTACTTGCATATGCTTAAGTGTTAGGTTGGTTTTTAACTAATTGGCAGGAAATCCTACTTGACTTAGATTTCTTGCTAGCTGACACTAGTCAATCGATAAGGTGTATGTGTGATCTGAATTAGATTCTAAGGCAGACCATTCAAATTTTACAGTCTCAGATTTTACATATAAACTATCTCCGGATCATTAATAACTTCTCGTAAAATTGATATTATAAAGTGGCGGTTAGCGGTAGTTTACAGATTTCGTTCTAGTTGAATACTCGCCAACAAGGTATGCCTGAAATCTCGATGAAACTGATATTACCTGGCATTTTATGATTCCTTTTTCAGCCAGTTTTAATAGTCAGAGAAGTTAACACTGATTCTGTCTGAGTTGCGACTGACCTCCTGTAGAAACGACTTCTGATCACAATCGATCTAACCATCTTAACATGATGTGTGCAATGTCAAGCCACTGAGATTAATCGCAACAGTGCAGCTTGATCGATAGAATTCGATCAGCACTAATCAGAACCTGACACCATTCATAATATTATTATCTATGATCAATCAATAGTAATTATCTCTGGTTGAAAAGATTTCAACTGCATTCAACTGAATAACTCAGCTGTTAAAGTGTTAAACTGTAAAAAAGTAGATGAATCCGACCAGTCCGCCCAAGATCTCACACACACACTTGATTGACTAATAAGCCTTAATTAACTAGGACAGATCATACCAGGTAAAGAACGATTTTTTTTTACTGACTACCACAGATCATCTCATGCATTCTGTAAGTTGTTAAACAATGAAACATTTTTCAAAATACTTATAATTTTCTATTTGTCTTTTTCTAAAAAAACAATTTTCTATTTTTTAGTCAATCGAAACTGTATGTCATATTTTAACGGATTTATTTCTAATTACTAAACTACACAAAAAAGATGGGAATGATTGTTGGAAATTATTGAAAAATCCTATTCGACTGGATAAATTGATTATTCAACGTGGTCGTGAAATTGGTTAGTTCAATGTGTTCAATTGTTTGTTTTATTTACATTCTCCATTTTATTTTCCAATCGAATTTTGTAAATATTCGCACAATTTCAATGATAGATTTGTTTGTGAATTGTGAAATGAGCTTCATGGAAATTTTGTAGAGAAAAAAATTATTTGAAAAGAATCTTTAGAATGATGATCTGTACTGATATTGTTTAATAATTGGTTGGAAATTAATGCATGTTAAACAGATAATTAGAGTTGTATTATAGTGAAGTTCTGTCGTTCTCTAAGTTGGGTATGTTTTTTTGGTTGTTGAACTGTGATTGTTCTCTTTCTGAACAACATCGTTATCTGAAACCATGAATCGATCAATGTTAGACCAACACCATTAGAAACCTGGACGGCCGTTTCGTCCTGGTATGGGACAACTCCTCAGCAGTGTGCATCCACAACTCCTGCACCCCGCAGGATTCGAACCCAGGACCTTCGGTATTGTGCACGAACGCCTAACCTTCGGACCACTAAACAGGTAGCTAATGGTGTTAATGTCTAACTTGATCAATTCATGGAGTTGCACAACCTCATACACAGTCTTCGATAGTTATTGTCTACACCCAAAAAGGTTGAACTTCACTGGTCACGTCTTCATGGTTTCAAAAAAAATGTGTAACTTAACAATCTTCACAACCCCGTAATGTAAACATCATTATCAGCACAAACTTCAGGTGTCGAAGAAGTGAAGTATTCGAATTTCTCCAGGTGTATTATGACTCATAGCTTATCCTGTTAACTTGAATCTTGATTGCTTGTTACCGACCGTGAACTTATCGTTTGTTTGCAACTTTATTTTGATTGTATCCCCCCACCTTCTGATTTGTTTCTTGATCTTATGTTCGTCGTCTATGATTTTTCTGATTGGTTGATAAATTGGATCAATGTCGATGTGTTTGTGGATTACCGATTGACCTGAGTGTCAGGCTCCTAAACACTCTTTTGTATTCTTCATATTCCCTCTGTTCAGTACTTCAAAACTGTTCCAATCCAATTTGTAAAAATTCTACCCAGGAATTTAGACCCAATGAACAATGTATGAAATCATGAACTGACAGTGGTTTTCTAAATAAAATCTTAAATTAATATCCTAAATCATGCAATTTTCAGGCTTCAGTTATAAGCTATCAACATCACTGTGTGTCAATGCGTGTAAATAATGATCAAATTACATATCATTCAATGGCACATGTTTTAATCAACTGAAAATTGAGCGTGATATTTCGGAAATTAGTTGAATTGGAAAGAAATCGAAGAATCCCACCCACTTAAGAGATTAAATAATGTTAGTGTTAGTTCATAACAAAAAATGTCATAGAAATTATTGAATATAACTCAAACTACTCAATATTTGTTAGTAGTATAATTAATCTACAAAAAACTTGACAAATAAAAAGCCCTTGAACAATGGATAAAAACTATGGTAAACCCAGTGATTTAGAAGATAATTTTCTTGATGTTGTAAATAGTTGTCAACTTCAGAGTTTTTGATGAACAGATGAATGACTGATAGATAAAATAGTTATTAGTGGCTGTGATCTTTGTGTAGATTGCCTCCATGTGGATGTGCATTGTTAAGAAGTCACACAACAACCGTGGAATACTGGTCTAGCTAGGATTAGTCGGTGGTCGGATGCACCTGTGCAAACAACTTTTCGCCATGTTAGTCAAGGTCTCTAACCATTGGTGACTTATGTCTCGCCGACACCAACCAGGTAGTCTACATCTACCAACGTGACTCAGTCCACTGGTCAGTGATTTCCTGGATTTGCGACATGCTTTGATTTCGCCGCCCCTAACTTTGTTCCAACCTATTCCTACACTGAAAAACATAGCTCATCGAGACAGACAGTGGCTGAGCATTCGTAAAACATATCCTAACCACCTCAACTGATGAAGTTTCACTACTTCATCTATTGAGTTGCCATCCTTACCTAGAACTCGTTTCCTAACGAAAGCATTGCTCACTCGGTTGTCCCAGGATACACGAACAATGCTTCGAAGATATTTATCATCAAATATTGATAACCTATGAATGTCCTTTACTTTAACCAGCCATATTTTGCATCCATATAGTAGGATTGAGCGAACTGAGGCGCAGTACAATCGTCTTTTAGTCAGGAAACGGATACCTCGCCTACTCCATAAATGACGTAACTTGACAAAAGCCAATCTAACCTTCTTTTTCTGTGCTAAGATTTCGTCACACGCCAGGCTGTCAGCACTGATGAGACTCCTGAGATTGATTTCCTTAACAACCCTGATTTGAACAGTCATTTAGATAAAGATCAATTATTGAGAATTTTTCTTTTGAAAATTTAAAAAAACGATCATCTTTTTACAAACTGTTATCGAATTTAATCATTTTAACTTCTGTTTTTTTCTCTATGGATTGTAATTTGTCTTCATACAGGTGTTTTTGGTTGCGCCATTCTAGATGACTTTCATAACATTGCTAGCTTTTACATTTTTTCTGCTGGACCAAAATGTGATGAATGGATTGCACAGATTGAATCAGCAAAGGTAATAAGATTCATTACGTACTTACTTACTTATGCACTTACTTACTGACTTACTTACCTACTCCTATTACCCTTTAATGTTGTATAGGCTGTAGATCAGCGACTTATTTATTCCTGGTTAGCGTTCCCTTTGTTAATCGAATTCGATTTCTACGAGATTGGGTTGTTAACCTCATGCCACACACCGCTCCGCATTTATTATACCAGGCTTGAGTTCCGCAGTAATCCTAGAAGGACTCCAGGTGGAGTTAATTTTGACTGAGAGCATAGTTTTATTTGCAAATGTGAATAGAAAACGTTTCTTGTTACTTAACTAACATTCTGTAATCTGTTTACGAAATTGATTTACTGTCGTAAGGGACTAGACAAAGTTTGTATGGAATTTTCTTCTACTCAACAATCAATCGTCAATTACAAGTAGGATAAATAATTTGATAAGTCGAGTTAATCCTTAATTGAATAGTAATAAACTGTTTTAAGCTATCTTCGACTTGAATCGCTTAAGTTTTCAACTTTGTGACATATACATAGACAGGTACATCCGGTTTAGCAGTCACCAAAAAAAGGAAAAGACGCATACGCTAGATTCGATTGTAAATCATATTGTCTGTATATAGAGAGACAATCTGCACAGGGTGCCCGTATGTCAACTAAGACCGATCAAACTTTCAGTACAGTAATTCAAAACCATTTCAAAAATAATGAATCCATGATTGTTTTGCGCAATTCTGATCGCCTATTTTGTGTGTGTTTGTTTATTTTTCCAAATAACCTGTAGGAAAAGTATCGTAAACTCATGGAACCGGAAATCTTGATTGCTCAACCGCTGATACGAAATCAACGCGATGAATTATGTACCAATGTTATGTCATCCGATCTTGTGTGTAATTCAGATAATACTTTAGAATTACGTCATGAACCATTTGAATGTAATGTTGACTTGTTTGTAGAAAGTTCTCCTGTTCCTCCAATTAACCCGATTCATTCGAATATTGGCGAGAATAAACGCAATGTATTCTTTTCATCTCAAACATCTTTATTTGAAAATAGCAATGCCAGTCATAATAATACTAATAATAATCATAGTCATAGTCATATTGATGATTCAATGTGTATTAAGGATAAACGTGTTCGATCAAACAATTCTCCAATTATTCGCACAAATCATGAACGTTCCAGTTCTAGATCATATAATTACACTTCAACCGAATCGAATTCAGTAACCGATCAAAATATCCATCCTCATGGTGAGCATCATCACTCACAACATTCATCATTGAATCAATTTGACAGTAGGAAGATGAATCATTCACATCCAATCGATAAATCCAAATCAATTTCCGTGTCATCATTAAAAAAAAAAGATGTTGATAGAACATTATATGTCACCACTAATCCAAGAAGGCAACAACAACGATATCAAGTAAGAGAGCTGCCAACTGCTTCGGAGTCATCTTTGAACAAACTACGCTCCTCACGTAAACCAGTGAATATAGTGAGTGTATCACGATCACCTGCATTCAGATCGTCATCAGCTAGTGAGAGTAGAATTTCACAGAATCCTGCTAATCGACAAGATTATTTTCAACGTTCAATGTTGTTCAATAGTACAAAATCCTCATCATCACCATCCTCATCCTCATCATCAACAACAACAACATCATCAAGAACTGAAGTCGCCGGTCATGTGAATTGTCCATCCATAGTGATTTATAGAATTCAGGGTGATCTTAATCAAAACGTGAATAACACTGATAATACTAACAATCGACCATCTCGTTCAACGAATTTACAACGTAATTCAGTTCATCAATCATTATTGAGTATTGACATATCGGATAGTGGTGAACAATAGAAGACAGAACAATACAATATTTTTTATTCTACTGTATCTCTATAAAAATCTGGCTTAATTTTAGCCAACTCTTGTTATCTATCGGTAACAGTAAAAAATATTGATGAACAACTTATCGCATTTTCGTTCGTTCGTTCGTTTGTCTGTTTGTTTGTTTGCTTGTACATCTATGCATCAGGCCATCTTATTTTCGTTGAGTCTACACTACACAAAGTCTAAAATCGATTGAATTCACAAACTGACCAAACTATCATGATGGTTGGCAGTGAACAAACCACAAACCATAAATTCCATCACACTACCACCATTGTACTCAACAATCCAATCCAATCAAATCAAATATTGTGTGAATAAACACAGCCAATCACATAAATTTTTGTTCTGATCAATTTATCATTTTGTACAGTGATAGAAATTTCTTCTTTTTTTCTTTATCGATAAACACAATAAAAACCACTGTGATGTATGTTTGTTTGAAAATACTGTTTTTTTTGTTTAAACTAACTTTTCTAGAAAATTCCACATCAGAAACACATTATTCTTCCTCCTTTTTCTACAATGTTCATCGCTCCTTCCATCCTTTCACCTCCATCCATCCATCCCGCACTCTCTCTCTCTGTGTCAGCTCACTTCGATGTACAATGTGAGAGTCGGTGGCTGGATAGATTCTTACATAACAAATGTCTATAACATGATGATCATTATTTTTATTTCAAAAAAATTATTGTTTGATTTTTTTTACAGTTTTTTTTTTTTGCCTTTTCAAACCATATCATATCGATTTTCTGTGATCTAATGAAACAACGAACAGTTAGTTATAACTCGAATTTTGTCTTTCAACTACAACGCGATACTACTATATAGAGAACAATTTCCAGAGAGAATATGGAAGAACATGGAAGAGAAGAATTTGATTTTTTTTAATAAAATAAAAACGTAAATATTTTAAAATGATTTAGTTTGATGCCTAACTTTTCGTAAAACCAATTCTACTGTTCAATATTCATTGATCATTTGTATATATATATACACATTGACAGTTGTATTTTGTTGACATTGATCACACTGAACGATTGTTTTTTTGAAAGATCAAAATATAAATAAAGAAATAAAAAAAAATGTCCATTTTACTATGATTACTTATTTTATTGATTAGTTTTGTATGTCTCTATCCGATTCTCGTCATCCCTGAAGGTTCCTTGTCAAGGTTTGTCTTGTTGGATGGTAGGTAGTTGGATGCTTTTCTCTAAAAAAAAATGTGTCCTGTCAATCTGCAGCGCTTCTTCTTCGTAACTTTGTCGTCGATTGAAAGGAATTACAGTTTGTTCTCTAATATAGTAGTTTGTTGCTGATAGTATGTGTCTAGCCAGTGGATATGAAGTAGCTTGTGTAGACATACTTAAATATGATTCTATCGTCAGTAAAAATACTAGCATATTAGAGTCTGATTCAACAGTAAATCCATATAGTCAGATTTGATTTCGACCAATTTGCTACCTTAACGTGGTGGTTGGGCTTGCATATCGTGATGACCCAACCGAGCTATATTGACTGGAACATATGTTCCTGAAGGTTCTACCATGCCAGGAAGGTCGATTGGAGAACGATGAGACTAAAAGCAGCTATTTAAGGTCTGAGGGCGAAGTCCTACTGCTGACTGATTGCAGAGGGGTGTGACAGCAGTAAGGCGTTTCCCTCGGACAACCAGTATATGCAGAGATGCTGCTTTCTGACAAGGAAGGAAGGGTTAGAAAAGGTCGACCCTAAAAATGTCACACCTCACCCTACCTCACGGATTTCCGTCTCCGTCGATAAGGGTGCCCACTAAGGGCTTTTAAGAGCTGAGCTAATGTTCAAAAAACCTTTAAGAAAAAGGCCGTGCGTGACCGGCCTCAAGCAGTTGTCCCTTGGACTCTGCGGTCACGTTCCCAGGTCTCTAAGACCAACACTAATCTATCTTCCTTTTCAGGTCCCTCAAGAAACAACGTTCCACGGTGTGGGCAACCGGGAAGTGACAACCACCCTCATACCCATAACAGTACATCCGTATAATGACAAATCTATACACATATATATTAATTTAAAATAGTTACCTAGACTGGCATATATTTCCTATCGAAAAATCCATCTTTTTAAACTAAATCTAATTTAATTTACTAAAGAATGATGTTATATATTATTTACTTTCGCCTGTTACTCGCCCAATAGAGCATAGGTCGCTGACCAGTGAGTGTTCTCCAACAAACTCTGTCCTGGGCTTCCTTTTCCAGTTCTGTTCAATTTTTGTTCATTCTTCTCATGTCTCTCTCCGTTACTCAGCGTAATGTGTTCTTCGGACTTCCTCTTTTCCTTTGACCTTGAGTAGTTCAAATGATAGCTTGTCTTATGATGCCACTTAGGTGCTTTCCGCCATGTGTGTCCTATCCACTTCTAGTGCTTCTTCCTGATTTCCTCCTTCACCAAAAGAAAGCTGGTTTGTTTTCTCCCACAGATTGACTGAATTATGCCTACTAATTCGTAGACCTTCTTTCTGTCTAATAGTAACTTCTAAGGACATTCCATTTCATAGTATGTTGTAAACCACATTGCAAGTAGTATCTAACACCCCTAGAATGTATTATTAATTAAACCCTAGATAAATTCGTCGAGAGAAACAAGAAATCAATCAATATCGATCACGATATTGTGTAGAACAAACCAATCAATAAATGATAATCACTGGAATGCAGCATCAAAACCTAATAATTAATGAAAATGATTGGCTTATAAGAAGAGTTTGGTGGTCAATACAACTAACAGACACTGAATAATAGCGGATTATAGGCATGAAAGAGTAGTAAGTAATCAAGGTAGAAAAAAGCTAATAAACTCACCTGTTGTCATTATAAAAAAAGTTTTCGGTCACTTTGTGCCAACAACCTACTAACCATCCATTCATGAAATAGTAGTGTAGTGAACGAGAACACAGGTGGGGCAACCGAATTGCATTGAACGAAAAACTATAGAGTTACTCAGTAAAATTGGAAAACCATATCGTAAATCGTTCATTTGCAAAATATCAGTTCATCAGATCGAACTGGACTGTTCCCGTTGCAAAACATCAATCCATTGTCACTATTCATGCGTTTCATACAAATTCCATTGTTTTCTAACTCTTCCTTTCTTGATCTTCCCCATCTTCGGCTGCCAGACATTACGTTTACACTCGCGTCATATACTACTTATAAGTAGCTCACACCACAGTAGTACTAACTATATTGATCAATACCGTATAGTAGAAAGTTTAATAATTTTTTCTAATGCTCTAACCTTAACACTGGTTTTATTGAACATAAACCATATCATTAATCAATCAACTATCATTTCAATAGAAAAAGAAAACTATGACACAAATAAAATTATCTTCTCTTATTGTTTGCAGAAAAATAAAACAACCAACTCAAATGACAATTCAATGTTCAATAACAACAATAACATTAATTTTCATTCAGTTTTATGAAGAAAACAAATTATTTCATTAAAATAAGGACAGAGAAAACAAATTTTTTTTCATACGATCTACCCATTATAAATCATACATACTAAGGTATATGAACTTAATTTATGGATGGAGAAAAAGAAATTGAATATTGAAATATTCACTATTTTTTTTTATTTTTATCATAAAAGAATATTTATGGTTGGTTAATTAAGAAAAAAAAATTTGAGGGACAATTGAAAAATGAACGATTTCAAGGTCAAGCTATCCACATTTCATCGCCATTTTTGTTTGATTCTAATTTCGTTCACACTCGTGTGTGTGTGTGCGTATGTGTGTGTCTGTCTATCTATTAATTTGATAACTGTTCGATTACTTATTATGATTAATATTAATATAAAATGTCTTCTAAATCCAGGTTAGTTGCGCTTAAAAGAAAACACAACGATAAATTATGTTCAATTAAAAAATATTGAACACAAGCGCGCCACATATCGACACACACACTGACAAAACAAATTACGAAAATGAGAATAGTGTGAAATTAATTACAAGATAGAAAATATTTTAAAATATAAAATTAAACTAAGAAAATATTTATTCATGGTTCAATGAGATTGATGGTGGCTAGCAATGAAATCTGGAATATTAATTTCCTTCGAATTGAGACTTATTTTTTGTGGTAGTGCTGTTTGGTTCTCTGAACTGGTTGTTTTTGGTTGTGGAGCTTTCATTGTTGTTCTTCTGAACAACATCACCAACAGCACAAACTTCAGATAGTAGAAGTGAAGTATTCGAATTTCTCCACGAAATGACTCGTAGCTTGTTCTGCTAACCTTGATATTGATCGGTTGCTGTTGACCTTAAGTTTGTCGTTGTTTGCACCTTTGTTTTGATTGTATCCCACTTTTGATCTGTTTCTTGATCCTATGTTCGCCTATGATTTTTCTAATTGGTTGATAAATTGGGTCAATGTCGATGTGTTTGTTGATTGCTGATTGACCTGAGTGCCAAGCTTCTAAAAATTATCTAGTGTTCTTGGTGCTCCCTCTATCCAGTATTTCCACATTGTGCCAATCGATTGGGTACTACACATGTTGACGTAGAGAACAATTTCCAGAGAGAACATGGAAGAACATGGAAGAGAAGAATTTATTTTTTATTAAAATAAACGTAAAAGTTTTAAAATGATTTAGTTTGATGCCTAACTTTTCGTAAATAGATAAACAATTCTATTGTTCAATATTCATTGATCATTTGTATATATATATACACATTGACAGTTGTATTTTGTTGTGACGTTGATCACGCTGAACGATTGTTTTTATAGATTGGAACAATGTGGAAATACTGGATAGAGGGAGCACCAAGAACACTAGATAATTTTTAGAAGCTTGGCACTCAGGTCAATCAGCAATCGACAAACACATCGACATTGATCCAATTTATCAACCAATCAGAAAAATCATAGGCGAACATACGATCAAGAAACATATCAAAACAAAGGTGCAAACAACGACAGATTTAAGGTCAACAGCAACCAATCAAGATCGAGGTTAGCAGAACAAGCTACAGGTCAAGTGTGGAGAAATTTGAATGCTTCAGTTCTGCTATCTGAAGTTTGTGCTGCTGATGATGTTGTTCAGAAGAACAACAATGAAAGCTCCACAACCAAATCAACCAGCTCAGAGAACCAAACACCACTACCACAATCATCCACCTGAGCTACAAGTTTTCTCCACCATCTCAAAATCATATGAGCGTGATACTTATTTTTTTGGCTAGATATATACATACCTCCTCATAGGTGATGTTCAACGACCGGACTAGAATTTTAGTACGATTTGCCTTAAATGCCATTGTGTTATCTATTGAATTAATGAATCCGGTTAGTCACTCACTAATGCGATAACCAATAGAAATTCACTTGTATTTATGGTTTTTGTTTTAAAAAATAATTCACTTGATTAGATAGAGGTAGTTGACAGGAAATCTTACTGTATCTGGATTTTAATCTACTCATCTGAAAGGTGATGGAGATTAATTGGAGGACGTGACCACCTTTACATATCTGGGCAGCATCATCGACGAGAAAGGTGGATCCGATGTAGATGTGAGGGAAAGGGCTGCATTTCTACAGTTGTAAAATATCTGCAACTCCAAACAACTGTGAACCAAAACCAAAATAAGTATTTTCAATACAAATGTCAAGACAGTTCTACTGTATGGAGCGGAAACTTGCAGAACTACGAAAGGCATCATCCAGAAGATACAAGTGTTTATTAACAGTTGTCTACGCAAAATACTTCGTATTCGTTGGCCAGACACCATCAGCAACAACGAACTGTGGGAGAGAACAAGTCAGATTCCAGTGGAGGAGGAAATCAGGAAGAAGTGGTGGAAGTGGATAGGACACACAGTGTGGAAAGCACCTAACTGCATCACGAGACAAACCGTCACATGGAACCCTCAAGGTAAAAGGAAAAGAGGAAGGCCAAGGAACATATTACGCGGAGAAATAGAGAAAGATATGAGAGGAATCAACAAACATTGTACAGAACTGGAGAGGGAAGCCCTGGACAGAGTTGGTTGGAGAAAACTGGTGGGCGGCCTATGCTCCTCCATTGGGTGTAACAGGCGTAAGTAAGTAATGAGTAATCTGAAAGTTGTGACTACTGTTCACAGAACAGTGATTATCTCTGTGAAATTTGAATCTGTATAATTGATTACCATAATCTTTGAATTTACTGAATTGAACTGTTTACAACTTGAAGAACTTCCTATGAGACTGAGATTGCTCCCAGTTTCTTATAGTCATGACTACAAAACAACTTGTTCTCATAAAATTCCAAAAGTGTTGAAACAAATTAAACAACTAATATTGGTCGCTTCTCGGTAAAATAATTCAGTTGTAGCCTGCAGACCTTGTGGGATTACTTCCAACTCCAAGCCCAGATATTAGAGGTCAGTTTAAAAACAAGAATTTGCGAATAAAGCGTGCTATTTGTACAATTTAGGGACGATCTCGCACTCAAAACAACTACCAACCAGAACCAAAGTCACATTTTTCAATGCCATTCTCAACACAGTTCTACTGTATGGAGAGTAAACTTGGCAAAGAATGAAAGCCATCAATCACAAGATATAGGTGTTGATTAGCAGTTGTTTATGCAAAATACTTCAAACAAGTTGACCAGACACTCACTAACAGAAACAGCCTACTGTGGAAGCGAATAAACCAGGTTCCAGCTGTGGAAGAAACTTGAGGATGTGGACAGGCACACATCACTAGTCAAGCCCTTACTTCGAACTTTAGTGACCAAAGGAAAACAGGTAGATCAATCGACACACTGCGCAGGGAATCGGTAGCAGATAGGAATAGAATAAACAGCAATTACTTAGAAATGGAACAGTAGAATGGAGGCCGGAACAGGTTGGAGAATACTGGTAGGCTTGAGTTAATAAATAATGATATAATCAGTTGACTAAACAGTGTACGTCAGTTGAAAACTTACACTTTTTACTAGTAATTTATTTCACTAGCAAACAAATAATTGTTTAATTATATATAACTGTATCAACCAATTACACAGTAACTAACTAGTTTACAAATCAACCCATGAAAAAGATTCAATAAAATAACAGCTACTTATAAGTAGTATAATTAGAATAATAAAAGTTTCACGAGATAATTTCCATGTCAGTTCATGACATTGTAAGAAATCCAAATATTCTCTACAGTATATATATAATTGTTTCAGTTTATGAAAGCCACTGAATAAGTATCGTGGGATTTAGGTGTAAAGTAGTAATATGGGAATAAAAATGACGTCATTGATGATGTAACTGTCAGGTATTGCATATGTCACAATATAGTTTGCACTTCATTAGAACGTTCACTGAAATGGAGTAATACCTACGAAAGTTTTAAGGCATGATCTTCTAATTAGACATGGACACTAATAATATAGGTCATTAGTATTCAATCTTAGGTGTCTTCCAAAGCACTGTTCTTAGTATATCCTTGGACCTCTGAATTCCTCAAATTATCGCTGTGCTAATTTGATATTTCAACTTGAACTGATGTATAGTAGATGTAGCATGTTCCGAATTGAAGCTAACTGATGATCAAACTCCTCAAATTTATTTTCTGAATACTTCTTACTATCCAATCATTGATCAATTCATCATTTCAAAGAGTAACCTAACAGTTTCCACAACCCCGTAATGCAAATCACCTGTGCTAACTAGTGACTACTTCCATAAGGACATTTCTCCGAGAGCTAGTGAGAAGACGTAACCAGCGGAGATCAACGAGGTTCGGGTGTAAAGCAGTGCTCGTCACTTAAGACAGTAGATGAGGTTGTACAAGACTGTCGTCCGTTAATCGAAGTTAGACATTAACACCGTTAGATACCGACTCAATGGTCCAGAGGTTAGACCAAAATTAGTTGTTCAGAATCCTGCGAGTAGCAGGAATCAAGGGTGCTCACTGCCAATGATGAGTCCCATAGGTGGGCGAAACCGCTGTCCAGTGCTTCCAGGTTTCTAATGATGTTCTAACATCGATTTTAAATTTCTGTGAACTTTATTTCATTAAAATGTGTATATTTTAGGCAGTTCGTCGGTAGAACTCGAACAATGGAGATCGTTGTTCGAAATCATGACTGAGTCACTGTTAGACTATCATTAGAAGCCTGGGTGCACTGACAGAAGGGTTGTTTCGTCCTGGTGTATGGGACTCATGATCTTCATCATGATATGATGAAGAAAATCAACAATATGCTTACTAGTGACTTAATTCGTGAGGAAATTCTCCAAGTTCTAGTGAAAAGGCAGTAACTTTCGAAGACAATCAGTGAGATTGCGCAAAATACTTAGATTAATCAGAATTATACATTGACACCATCGTATGCCGGACCACTGGTCCAGAGGTTAAGAGTTCGAGCACAAGATTGAAGGTTCTTGGTTCGAATCCTGCAAGCGGCTAGATTCATGAATGCTCACTGCCAATGATGAGTCCCAGAAGAAGATAAAACAGTTTTCTTTCAATGCTTCAAAGTTTCTAACAATGACTAATTCATGATTTTACTGTAAAAAATAATTTTATTCAAATCGATACAAAAGATGATAACTGTCATTTTTTTATGAACAAATCGAACATAGGAAAATCATACCATTCATTATATTGTAGTCAAATCAAACAACAAAAACTGTAAATGTTTTCAATGGTCAAATAAATTGATCCAATCAGAATTTAATTTCATGAAACTAAATGTGAGCATTTGATTGGTGCAAATCGATTTTGATAGTCTGTGGAATGTATTTTTTTAACCAATCATAATAATCATTCATATTTAAGCTTGTAACAGTAAGTGACGAGCGGTAGAGACACGACATTAATTGTCTTACATAACTTTAGTAATAATAATCAATCAATTGTAGTCATAACTATTACAAATTTTTACTTCTACAAATGATCTATGTCTTCTGTGTATACGCATAAATCATCGTCAACATTGAATAAAACTAATGTTGTCAAATTGGATAACTTAACAAAAAATAATACTGACTGTCAATCACCAACATCTATGAACGATTTGGAATTAATGAATAAATATTCCACTGCACTTATATCACATCGAAAATGTTTATTGAAATCTGATGAGAAATTTGATCATGGTGAGAAACGATTGAATTTCCCACTGACAGATTTTGATTATTTGGATAAATTCTATAAAACCAACAGCAATAATAATAATAATAATAATAATACTAACTTGAATTCATCATTTCATATTCAATTACCGGAACGTCATACATTCACAGCATCAACTGCTTCGTTAATTGTACATGTGCCTAGTTTGTCATATGTAAGCGAAGAAATCGATAATGACGATGATGATGATGACGATGACGAGAGATCGGATAATGAAATTTGTAAATTAAATTTAAATACTAATACTACTAATAATACTACTAATACTACTACGAATACTACTCATAACAATCATCATTCTCAATCACATCGACTCTGTCCAATATGTAATATATTGAATACAGATTTACAACAACAATTTGATGAGTTTCATTTAAAACGTTTTATTAGTTTGTCAATGATCAATGTAACTACATGCGATACACTAGATGACAATGCTGTTCATGTTAATCATCATCATAATAACAGGAACATTGTCAATACACCAAGATTATGGGATATTGTAGAATCATTTTCAGCGAATTCATTTAAAAATTTGTGTTATTTTCATCAAAATCTAAGTGTACATTATCAAAGATTTTTATCCACGAATCGTGATCATAATGATAACGATGTTGGAACAAATTTACCCACATCACTTAGTTTGCCATGTTTGCATAAATCTATTGAATCGCCATTAATCATGTCAACAGAATATGAGGAAAATTACATTCCACATATAGATAGTGTTAATATAATGTACCCTAGAAATATTCCTAACACTCCATCGATTTCAATCAATGAGGTGGATGACACAGCAGAAATTATTTCCAACAGTTCACTACCACTACAACAACAACACCAGCCAACAATCAGTGCCAGTAGTGAGTTCGATGATGCAACACGAAGTAAGTGTGAAACATGGTTGAATGCAACATGGTCTAAGCCTTGATAGTGTTTTTTAGTTGGTCTGTTCATTTTTATGTTCTATTTGTGATAATTTCTACCTTTGTTTTTATTGATTACTGTTTAAATAATCAATATACACATATATATACATACATTTCTAATTTGTATCATTTTAAACAATGATTTTTCGCGCGAAAAACAAACTGGAAAAAAAAACACTTGAACAGTTTCCTTCAATTTTTTTTAACAGTTTCATCAATGTGTGCGCTCGATTAAGATGACTTGATTTCATTTGATTTTATATACATATATATATATTTTTTCTGTGAAAATTTTTTATACACACTGAAGACATTTTGTTTATCTTGTTGGCGTCTGCCTGCCTCTCTCACTGGCTCGCTAGCTTGTTCGCTTTTCTCGCTCATGCACAAATACATTTCGCGAATGAATATTCTATGTCAATTTGACTTGCTGTCATTGTGAATGATTTGATTTCGATCAATCGATGTTGTCAGTGTTACTGTTGTTAACAATCTAGTGATTGTTGGTGTTATCGCTTTTCCATCTCTCTCTCTCTTCGTGTGTGTGTGTGTGTGTGAAGTTTGATTTCAACAAATGTTCAACGAAAAACCAGAAAGAAGTATTCTGTTGTTAATGCTGGAAATCCATAGTCGGAATTACGAAATCTGATCATAATAATAATAATAATAATAATAATAATAATAATAATAATAATAATAATAATAATAATTAGTGTTCTGTCCAACCCCAGGAATACTGTTCAGCTCATGAGACGATCAATGTTAGATCACCACCGTACTGAAAAAATCCTGGATACACTAAACGACCATTTCGTTCTAGTATTGAACTCGCCAATAGTACATATCCATTACGTCACGTGAATGCCACTAACTTGATATACAATAATGTTAATCTCTAATTTTTTAAATCAGTCCACTATATATTACGCGACCATCTAACATTGTCTTAAGCGGATAACTATCTACCTGAGTTTGATTTCCTCTTTCAAGATTCTAAATGTGCACTATACTGGATGAATCCCATAGTATGATTTTCAGGCAAATAGTCTAACATTGAAAATCCACAATTTCCACAACCAGATTTTGATGAGTAATGTATCACCAGTTTTATGACGGTTAACATCCGACGTGTTCCTAGACTTCGTGATTTGCTCGTCAAGACAATCCTTACTAAGTAGCTCCTGACGCACACCACAATTGAACTAGCAAACCAGCAAACACACAGAGAGCAGGGAAAGCACACTAGTGAGCGAGTGAATTGGTGAATGAAGTGAAGTGGAGAAGGCTAGTGAGCCAACTCCCATAGATAAAGCATGACTAAGAAAGAATTTATAGTCAGACAAAAATAAGACAGACATGTATTAGGCGAGATAGACATGCACACACATGAATACAAGCGACGAATGATTGGCAAGGTCAAAAGATAAGTGGAACAAGTCACGTGAGCTAGACAACGAAGGTATTCATTGATGAATATATATAAATCTATACCGTGTACGAAAATTCTTTTTAGGTTAAATGATTGATTACATTAGAGTTTTATTCTTTCATCTATGTGTGGTTTAATCATAAAGTATTGACTGTTCCCTCGCAGAATATCGTAGGAAGGATTTTTTTGTGACCGATTTGGTTTCGGGTATGAGGGCGTTTGTCGCTTCCCGGCTGCCCACACCGTGAAAGGTTGTTTCTTGAGGAACCTGGAAAAGAAGGTAGATTAGTGTCGGTCTTAGAGACCTGAGAGCGTGACCGCAATGCCTAAGAGACAACTGCTTGAGGCCGGTCATCCACAGCCTTTTTATGGGTAGTATTTAAAGCGTTAGCTCCGTTCTTGCTTAAAAGCCCTTACCGTCGGAGACGGAAATCCGTGAGGAAACGGTGAGATGTGACATTTTTATGATTGACCTTTTCCAACCCCTTCCCTCCTTGGTCTTCGCTGAAATTCTAAACTTCTGAATTCCTCACCGCCTCTTTCTTTCTCTTTCTAACCTTATCTCACCGAATTATACTTCTTGAATAATATCTTCGATTCCTAATATTCACCATTACTGCTAATACTTCTACTATCGTTACCACTATGGAATTTGAATTGACAATTGCGTCTCTGTGCTGATGGGGTATGGAAACCTGAACTTATGTACTCATGTACGAAGTTTTGCTTTGTAACTGACTGACTGACGTAGTAAGAAAGTCAGGTAGATGACGGCCATTCTCTGTCTGTTTCATTTTGATTTCTTCATTCACTATTTGATTTGATTGTTGGTCTTATATGTTTTTGTATGAATCCTTGATAAGTTGGATCGATTTTGATGCGTCCACAAGTGGCTAATTGACCTGAGTTGTAAGATTCTAAAATTTCCCTATTGTTCTTCGCATCACACATATCCATTTACTCAACACAAAATCAACTGCATACAAAAACTTTGTTTTAGAGAGCAAAGAAACATTACAGCAGCACATATGAAGCACTAAAAAAACGAGGAAAAACATCTTGTGACTATTTTCCAAAAGAATGGCTATCCTCGCTACTTCATCAAAAAACACCTACTGAAATTGTCAACAGAAGCGAAATCAAGTACAGAAACCAATAAACGGATCATTCTACCATACGTAAAATACGTATCGGAGCATACAGCACGAATACTGAAACCATTTGGAATAGGTGTGGCACACAAACCAACAGAATCAATTCAGTCAATCCTATGTTGACCAAAGGACAATATGACAAATGAAGAAAAACCAAATATCATCTACAAAATAAACAATTGCTCAGACTGTGAAAAACAAATACATAGGACAAAGTGGACGGCCTATTCAGCTTCGTTTACATGAACACCAATTAGCAGTCAGACGCCACGACAACGCTTCGCTTATATCAATTCACATCGGCAATTGTGGACATACATTTGATTGGAACAATGTGGAAATGCTGGGTAGGGGGGAGGACAAAGAACACTAGAGAATTTTTAGCAGCTTGGCACTCTCAGGTCAATCAGCAATCAACAAACACATCGACATTGATCCAATTTATCAACCAATCAGGAAAATCATAGGTGACATAGGATCAAGAAACAGATCAAAAAGGGGGATACAATCAAAACAAAGGTGAAAACGACGACAAGGTTTAAGGTCAACAGCAACCAATCAAGATCGAGGTTAGCAGAACAAGCTACAGGTCAAGTGTGGAGAAATACGAATACTTCACTTCTACTATCTGAAGTTTGTGCTGCTGCTGATGTTGTTGTTCAGAAGAACAACAATGAAAGCTCTACAATCAAAACAACCAGTTCATACACCTGAGCTACAAATTTTCCTCAGAATTCAATTACTCAAAAGATTTCCAATTAAACATGTGTTCAGAGTGACTGATATACATTGCTTTAAGCGACATATATATATGACGTACATATAAGCAAATTCAAGTACATCATTACTTCTTCAACAGCTGACATTTGTGCTAATGATGATGTTGTTGTTCAGACGAAGATCAACGGAAGCTTTACAACTAGACCATTGAGCTCAGAGAAAAAAAAACTCATTGAATAGTTGTGTAACATTTTCTTGTTCAACCATTAACAACCTGGAGACAGTGGACAGCCATTCGATCCGACCGTCCCATTGATATAGGTAGGAGTAGAACGTTTACATGTGAAATACATAGATTCCATGTTCAACTCACTTAGGGTCGAACACTACTCTAGACAACATTACTTTCAAATTGTCAATGATAGTCTCTCTCATCGACTGATTCTTAATAATACCAACAGAAACTAAAATCAATAATTAAAACAAGTTCACATCAACACTACAACCACATATGATGTAATATTGATTTGATGAAGTTGTAACATCACTTATACCACTTATACACGTCTAAGTAAATGTAGGAATTAGAAAAATTTCCAGTAAAAATAAAGTCATGATAAAAAAAAAAAAGAATGGAAACTCAATGATAAAAAAGTTTTTTGCAAAAATGAAACACGTGGAATCAAATTCTTCTACATGCTAAAAATTACATCATATCATCATCTGACAAATTGAAAAAAAGGTTTTTTCTCTTTTTAAGTGAACGAAAATGCAATTTTGGTTACCCTGGTGTTTGACTAATTGTTAGAAGTGATCAATTCATGATCATGATTGACAATGATATATAAAAATTTGCCAAAGTTTTATCTTTCACAAAGAGAAAAATAAAACTTGTGATCTATCTATAGAGTTAGTTAATTAATGATTGAATGAAACGGTAGTTACAAGAATTTTTAACAAGAAAAAATCGATACCCAAATGTGAAATTCTCTAATTGACAGTTTGGAAATCGCTAGAAATAGTTGGTATTTTTTTTTGATTAAAGAGTTGTTCACATTGTTGTGAATCAATCATTGTTTGACTGCCATTAGAAACTTGGAAGCATTGAACGACGATCGTTCTGTCCTGCTGTATAGAACTCATCATCTCCATACTAGTATAATGAAAACATCAACATTATGCTCACTAGTGACTTACTTTGTAAGGAAATTCTCCCATCTCTAGTGAAATGATGTGGTCAGTGGAGTTCAGCCCGATCGGGTGTAGGCAATAACTACCGAAAACAATGAAGGAGGTTGGGCAAAATCATTAAATTGATCAGAGTTAGACATTGACATCGTCAGAAGCTGGCTCAGTGGTCCAGAAGTTAGGCGTTCACTCACAAGACTGACGATCCTTTGTTCGATGCATGCGAGTGTCAGGAATAGTAGATGTGCACTGCCATTGATGAGTCACATAAGCGGACGAAACGGTATTCTTCTAGTGCTTTCAGGTATCTAATGGGGGTCTTGACTTACACTGAATCGATTCTTCTACGATCGTTGTTTTTTATTCATTCAAATAGGAAAATTTGTTTGAATTTAGATTAAACCTCATATAGTTAAAAATTTAATATTCTCACTAACCTATCCCCTAATAGAATCAAGCTATTATTACTATTGTAGAGTCAAGTTCGAACATGGTCATACACTTACACGATCGATTTCTCTGAAAACATGCTGTTTCTAGTAGTATTTCTGTCATTGGAATTATTCAAGAGAAGATTTGGAGATATTGAGTGGCCGACGTCTTGTCATTCATGATTCCCAATTTTATAAGGATCAAAAAAAACCGTACATGAAGTTTGTGTGCTGTAGAATTAGTTGGAAAGTTGCCAAAGGAAGTGTTAATCTTCCATGACCATTTCATCCAAAGCTTTAATGAAATGCAAGTGTCTGATATTTATACAAATTTTAAAGAATCAAATCGATATTGGATGTTACATATATATATATATATATATATATATATATATATATTACTTACTTACTTACGCCTGTTACCCCCAATGGAGCATAGGCCGCCCACCAGTTTTCTCCAACCAACTCTGTCCTGGGCTTCCCTCACCAGTTCTGTCCAACGTTTGTTCATTTCTCACATATCTTTCTCTATTTCTCGGCCTAATGTGTTCCTTGGCCTTCCTCTTTTCCTTTTGCCTTGACGGTTCCATGTAAGGGCTTGTCTCGTGACGCCGTTCGTTGCTTTTCGTAGTGTGTGTCCTATCCACTTCTACCTCCTTTTCCCGATTTCCTCCTCCACTGGAATCTGGTTTGTTCTCTCCCACAGTTCGTTGTTGCT